GATGCATGTATGTCAACAACAAACAAGATGTGTTTCTAAAACACTGTTGCCCCGTAAGGCAACTTTTAGCGAAGGTTAAACTTTCTCAAATGCACCCAAAGTAAGGTCTTGTCCCGAAAAATATACCTGTGAAATATGAAAGCCCTAGCAGCAACCATTGAAGAGATATGGAAAAGGTTAAAGTTTTTCAAAAGTAAGTCAAACATCAAGGTCAAGGTCAAATGGTCAAAATTATTGTTGCTCAAGGAAAGGCCTTCTCACAAGTAGGTTAAACTCCTTGGTCAAGGTCAAAGGGTCAAAGTTGTTTGCATCCAAAGGAAGGTCTTGTCACAAGGATTACATGTGTAAAGTATGAAAGCCCTAGCTATATTCCTCGACACAAGACCTTACTTTGGGTACCAACATTGAAAAAGTTTAACGTTTGCTATAAGTTGCCAAAATCGGGCATCAGTGTTTCACAAATACATCTTGTTTGATCTAGACCTAGGAGCTTGATCTACTTTTGAAAAACTTTAACCTTGGCCATAACTTTTAAATGGTTGGAGCTAGGGTTTTCATACTTCATATATTTAATCCTTTTGACAAGATCTTCCCTTGAATACCAACAAATTTGACCCTTTGACCTTGGAGTTTGACTTACTTTGGGAAAACTTTAACCTTGGCCATAACTTTTTAACAGTTGGTGCTAGGGCTTTCATACTCCACTTGTGTATTCTTTGTGAAAACACCTTCTTTGGATACCAACAATTATAGCCCATTGACCTTGACTTTGGAGTTTGACCTACATTTGGAAAACTTTGACATTTGCCATTATTTTTGAACAGTTGGTGCTAGGGCTTTCATATTTCACATGTGTAATCCTTGTGACATGACCTTACTTTGGATACCAACAACTTTGACACTTTGACCTTGATATCTTAGAGTTTGACTACTTTTGAAAAACTTAAACCTTGGCCATAACATTTGAACGGTTGGTGCTAGATCTTTTATATTTCGCGTGTATTTCTTGTGAGAAGGCCTTTCCTTGGGCACCATTAATTTTAACCATGACCTTGACGTTTGACTTAGTTTTGAGAAACTTTAACCTTTTCCATATTTTTTCAATGATTGCTGCTAGGGCTTTCATATTTCACAGGTATATTCCTCGAGACAATATCTTACTTTGGGTACCATCATATTTGATTTGCCTTTGAGAAAGTTTAACCTTCGCTTTAAGATGCCATACACGGGCATCAGTGTTTCACAAACACATCTCGTTTGACAAATGTTCTCGACGAATCAAATTCAAGAAAATTACGCACATGAAAGTATACTGAAAGTAAAAAGAAACGCAGGGTAAACTTTAGAAGTGAAATAATGCTATTTTTTCGGACGTATTTTCCAGTATCGTTATCTAACATTTAAACTCATCTTTAATCAACAAGTTACCAAAATCTCATTTGATTTTGACTGATTATTCATGAGTTATTGAAATTCATATGACGGTACCCCCAAAAGTGAAAATAAAAATTCTCATCATCTCCCTCGTACATCTGTCACAGACTTGATCATCCCCTATACATGGAGTTCATCAGTACGTTTATCGGCTTGTTCCTGTTTTGCATAGATCGGAATTTCATTTATTGAAAAAATGTGTCCAAAACAGGAATTTTTCCAGGTAAGATACTTAATTGCCATAGTCTGTATAGTGTATAACTAAGTATAGGAAGAAAAAATGATTAATTTTCCATTTGATATTTTGATTTATTTCTGTAATTTCATACTTAGAAAAAACTATTTTGAAACCAAAATATATATATATATATATATATATATATATATATATATATATATATATATATATATATATATATATATATATATATATATATATATATATATATATATATCATAAATACTAATCAAAACTATATTCATTACTAAATGAACAAGTTAATTTTTTTTTTATTAATTAGGATAAAATTCATTTACTCATTCATTATATCTTTATGAAACAGGGTGAACAGGTCAAGCTGCAATAAGGATATTTGTCTAAATTATCAACTTCGTCTTCACTTGGGATGGACAAGTTAAATTTTCAAAATTTATTCTTTTAAATATATATTTTAATGCTTTGGTAAAATACGGTAATTCCAGGTAAATCCAAGACGGAGATCAGACTATAATTGCTATCAAAACATATTTCACACCTATTGCTCTATACCTAATCAATCTAATTAAAATTAGATGTTCCGAATCCGCTACCGCTTGTTTGAGAAGCGGTAGCGGATTCGGAACATCTAATTTTAATTAGATTGATACCTAATTATCAAATGTGTGCAACACGGGAACACACCCTTAAGTTTTATCTTAGAGATATGCAACCCTTCCGATAGTCCGAAATATCTGACGTTTTCCAGGCTTTTTTCACGATTTTGATTTCCTGGCACGTAAAATATCCAAATCATAAAAAAGCCAGGAAAACGTCAGATATTTCGGACTACCCTTCCGACAGCGCAGCCCTTGGTTGGTAGAGAGTAGCTAGGGCATTTTGACGCCTTCAAATCTTACTGTCCAGTTAGTCCCAAAGATTTTCGATTGGAGAAAAAGATAGAATTCACGGAGGCCAATTGATCTGGTAAATGTGATTGTACATGCTGAAAAAATTAAACATATGACGCATGTACGTGTGCGAGTGAGAGTAACACCGACGTAAAGTTGAGGAGCTCACGGTTTAAGATAGATGTGTCCTATACATTAATGACCGACCGTTAAAGACTATTAATATGCTTTGCAATAACTTGGACATTTTGTAACTTACAGATTTTTAAAATATGAAATTAATATAGGTAAAAAAGACACGAATAAATTTTAGAAACTCTAGGTCAAATATCAGGAATGATAGCTGCAGATCTGTAGCTCGCTGGTCTATCATTTATCAATGAAAATGAATTTTGAGTTACCTTTGAATATAAAACTCAAATTCTAATGTTTTAATCAAACTTCTTTTTAAAGAAGCTTGATCTTAAAAATGTTTTTAGTGTTTCAGTACTGACTTGAATTCTCAGAATTTAGAAACGTAAAAATAAATCCTGACCAAAATTCACAAAAATAAATTGATGTAAAATTTCAATATTATTTCATTGATATATGTGGTATCCAGTATGACTCTGTCTGTGTTGTAGCTGATCAAAGCAACTGTCATTGATATATATGGTATCCAGTGTGACTGTCAGTGTTGTAGCTGATCAAATCAATTGTCATTGATATATGTGGTATCCAGTGCGACTCTGTCTGTGTTGTAGCTGATCAAAGCAACTGTCATTGATATATGTGGTATCCAGTATGACTGTCAGTGTTGTAGCTGATCAAAGTAATTGTCATTGATATATGTGGTATCCAGTGTGACTGTCTGTGTTGTAGCTGATCAAAGCAACTGTCATTGATATATGTGGTATCCAGTGCGACTCTGTCAGTGTTGTAGCTGATAAAAGCAACTGTCATTGATATATGCGGTATCAAGTGTGACTCTGTCAGTGCTGTAGCTGATAAAAGCAATTGTCATTGATATATGCGGTATCAAGTGTGATTCTGTCAGTGTTGTAGCTGATCAAAGTAATTGTCATTGATATATGTGGTATCCAAAGTGACTCTGTCAGTGTTGTAGCTGATCAAAGCAATTGTCATTGATATATGTGGTATCCAGTATGACTGTCAGTGTTGTAGCTGATCAAAGCAACTGTCATTGATATATGTGGTATCCAGTATGACTCTGTCTGTGTTGTAGCTGATCAAAGCAATTGTCATTGATATATGTGGTTTCCAGTATGATTGTCAGTGTTGTGGCTAATCAAAGCAACTGTCATTGATATATGTGATATCCAGTGTGACTCTGTGTTGTAGCTGATCAAAGCAACTGTCATTGATATATGTGGTATCCAGTATGACTGTCAGTGTTGTAGCTGATAAAAGTAATTGTCATTGATATATGTGGTATCCAGTGTGACTGTCTGTGTTGTAGCTGATCAAAGCCAGTGTGACTCTGTCAGTATTATAGCTGATAAAAGTAATTGTCATTGATATATGTGGTATCCAAAGTGACTCTGTCAGTGTTTTAGCTGATCAAAGCAACTGTCATTGATATATGTGGTATCCAGTATGACTGTCAGTGTTGTAGCTGATCAAAGCAACTGTCATTGATATATGTGGTATCCAGTATGACTCTGTCTGTGTTGTAGCTGATCAAAGCAATTGTCATTGATATATGTGGTTTCCAGTATGATTGTCAGTGTTGTGGCTGATCAAAGCAACTGTCATTGATATATGTGATATCCAGTGTGACTCTGTCTGTGTTGTAGCTGATCAAAGCAACTGTCATTGATATATGTGGTCTCCAGTGTGACTCTGTCTGTGTTTTAGCTGATCAAAGCAATTGTCATTGATATATGTGGTATCCAGTATGACTGTCAGTGTTGTAGCTGATCAAAGCAATTGTCATTGATATATGTGGTATCCAGTATGACTGTCAGTGTTGTAGCTGATCAAAGCAACTGTCATTGATATATGTGGTATCCAGTATGACTGTCAGTGTCGTAGCTGATCAAAGCAACTGTCATTGATATATGTGGTATCCAGTATGACTGTCAGTGTTGTAGCTGATCAAAGCAACTGTCATTGATATATGTGGTATCCAGTATGACTGTCAGTGTTGTAGCTGATCAAAGCAACTGTCATTGATATATGTGGTATCCAGTATGACTCTGTCAGTGTTGTAGCTGATCAAAGTAATTGTCATTGATATATGTGGTATCCAGTATGACTGTCAGTGTTGTAGCTGATCAAAGTAATTGTCATTGATATATGTGGTATCCAGTATGACTGTCAGTGTTGTAGCTGATCAAAGCAACTGTCATTGATATATGTGGTATCCAGTATGACTGTCAGTGTTGTAGCTGATAAAAGCAATTATCATTCTTCCTCCACATAAAATGTCTTTATCAAAACAAACTTTTTCATATTGAAAAAAAAATACTAATCTACTTCAGTAATACAACATATGATATTAAAAAATACAACACAAGTGGAAAAAAGAGACACAGTAGAATCTATAAAAATATTCTTGTTACTTTTCACCTATCAAGATTTCTATTCCAATCTCACATGTTGGTGGCCCTTTTCACAAAAAATCTCAGGACTAGGACTCAAATTTTCCCATTCTTCAACAAGTATCTATACTGCAGTAGGACATAAAAAATCTTCTATTTCTATTGCATAATAATACATTGTTGAAAAAATATCTAAGAAAAAAATAATATGTTTATCAAACAAAAAATTACAGAGTTGTCAAATTTCTACCTTAGTCTTAAGACGTTTTGTGAAAAGGGCCATTGCAGAATACAAATGTTAGGAATCTCTCCATTGGACGAGAGGCAGAGCTCAAAATACATGTGTTCATCTAGTGAATGAATTGTAATCAAAATTCAAATTCATGAAGATTCATAATTATAGCATGATGTTCATATGTATAGTAAAGAAAATTTAATTTCCAAATATGTCCATTAATTAGCAAAATTCAAATCATAGGATTCACTTATTTATGTTACATGTATTTTATATGCTGGTCATGACAGTTCTTCACGAGAGAGAATTTGAGGCAGCAACACATCTCATTCAAAGAATATCTAAATTAAAGAAAAAATGTTAATATACATATACACTTCAATGTTTTATCGATCATATTTACTGGTACATGTACATATATCAAAATACATATTTTTTGATAGGATTACTTAACTTTTTTGTCCAAAATCTTCTTCTCTTACCATTATCGTTATCTTCCATAAACTGTAAGATTAGATATTTATTTAACTAAAACTGACATCAAAACATATTGGCTGAATAGTATGGAAAGCCATATGGAAGGCCAGGGTCGAAATCATGGTTGGCCAGGTTTAAAACTATAGATTATATAGACCCTGATCCTGGGGGTCCTCTATGGCTTTCCGTAGAATAGAGACATAGATGTTTGATATACAAGTAATCAGGTGTAAATAATACTAGTACAGTGGTATACCTACCTTGTTTACAGGAGCAGTGAAACTTTCCTCCTTTTAGTGGCGTACATATATCTGTTGGTGTGGGACAGGACCACAGTTTACAGGAGACATTGAACTTAGTACTGGACACTAAAGCAGAACTTAATGCTGAGCTTGTAATGGTCATAGCTGCTGAGCTTTGGATTCTGAATGAGCCTTCAGTTTTTAACATAGTGTCATAGAGAGCCCATTGGGATACTAGAGGGTCTGTGTTGAGAGTTGAAGTTTTAGATAAGTCATGTTGTTGAGACATAGAGACCTGATGTTGAGTTGTCAATGACATGGGTGAAGAAGAAGTGATTTCAATAGATGAGGTTTTCTGATGAATTGTCTTAGAGGATCCTAGAAGTTTAAGCACATCATAATCTTCTCCCATTGTACTATATGAGTTCTGAGTAGTATAAAGAGTCTGAGAAGGATTTACACTTCTGTTCAATAGTGATTTATTATTTCTCTGTCCATTGAAAGATTGGGTGAATGATGGCTGTATGAAAGATGGTTTATCACTGTTATGGGGCTCACTAGAGGGGTAAGGTAATGGAACAAACTGTGCAGCATTTACCTCCCCTGAAGTTGTGTCTACAGACAGGGAGTTTAGTGATGAAAGTGTGGTTGGTTCAAGACTTAATCCTAACTCTGCAAAGAACAAAGTATATCATGACTTGAATATTGACCATAGATAGTGCATAAGTCTAACTTTGACTAGCTGAATTGATCACAGGCAAGCTAATCAATGATACTAAAATGGAAAAAAAGAAAAGAAACATTACATATAAGACACAATTGAAAAACTTGAAAAAAATAATGTTTCCCCCCTTCCCCCTTCCAACCTAAAATAAATGCTGAAGAGAATTATTTTTAGTTGTAGATTGACTGAAACAAAATGATGTAACATCACTCAGTATGATTTCTTTTTGGTTGATCCTATCTCCCAAAACACAAAATGATATTCAGTCAACATTGGGAAACTGATAATTTTCACACAGACCTCATTCAAATTATTTACCATGATAAATGTTATTTTAGTAGAACAGACACCCATGCAATATTTAGGTTTATTTGATTACAATAAAATCAGAAGTCTTGAATGTACCTGACTGTACTTCACGTACACAAACATCAAAGTAAAACATCAACAAGCTGCAAGCAGTCGAAGTTTTCATGTTAATAGCTGTCATCGGAACTTCTGCTAAAAGAATATCTCGTTATTCATCAGATATACATAAATCTATTGTCAATAACTCTTAAATTCAAGGTATAAACACTTTAAACTGATTGTGACATGTTTTCCGATACTTCGTGTCTAGTCTACTTTCACTTGAAAAGAGCTCTCCTCTCTTGAAGGTGTGTTTACACTAATGTCGAATTTCCTCAAACTATTACAAAGCACGGTCTAGTATTTCACACAGATGGGAAATGAATTTGTATATAGTGATGCTTTAAAATGATTTAAAGTAAGGTTTTTAATCTGTATGTGTATGCTCATCATGTTTTCTTTGATGTCCCATACCGTAGCAATACATGTTGGGTAAAAATTGTCTTAAGAATGTGAAAGTCGTCTAACGTTATCAGGTTATCAGGTTATAGTAATTATAATGCTCACTGCTGTAGAAATAGTAAATACAATATTGTAATCATGGTTATCATGATGGTATTAAAACCCCCTGCCCCAAACTTGTTTACAGAAGTCAAAGTTTCAGTAGAAAATATTTAATGTCAAAGTAAATTTACTGACAAAAGACAACTTACATGTACTTAACAGATAAATCACTGTGTTTAAATGCAATATTTAAGAATATTTCAATTATTTAAAAAAAAAATAAAGAAAATAATTTTCTAATAGGAGAAAACTGTATAATATTACATGGAAGAGGCTTTGTATATTCCACTGGATGAACTACAACATTGATACTGCAATGCTTCCTCGCTACAATTTCTTACGGATCTGTCTATCTTGCTGGTCTCCCATGTCCTCTGTGACCAGAATACCAGCTAAGTGGTGGAACAAAGGATATAAGTTTCCAATGGTTACCTGTTCTCAGGTGTGTGGATTACGATGGGTCCAGGCCACTCACAAACAGTACTGCAGCTCCAACTCTAACCCAGGGACCAAAGTGGAGGAAAATCCATATTACGAAAAATATAAAGCAAAACTACAGAATCTTAAACAGTAAATATATTTTCATATATGATATTAGAGTTATATACCTCCAATATAAATTTAACACAGAAATAAAACTCAAGATGGTTTTGTTCCATAGATTGAATACTTTGGTGTCGTGTATTGTTTGTTTTTCTGCTGTATATATATGTACATGTATATGTGTATACTGTAAAACTCGGTTATAGCGAAGTTCTGGGGACCTGCATATTTACTTTGCTATATTCATAATTCCTTATATCCGAATAACGAATTCCTTAAAGTATACTAGCGAATTCTTAATATAGATCTTTTTTTTAATTGAAATCTTTAAAAATTCACTATAAAAGATGTAAATTTCATTATTTTTAACTTCTAGGGGACACAGAATCACTTTGCTATAACCATAAATTTGCTATATCAGAGAGTTCATTATATCCGTAAAATTTTACAAGGAATTGTTATACCCCCCCGCAAACAAAGTTTAGGGGGGGTATATTGGAATCAGCTTGTCCGTCTGTCTTCCATCTGTCTGTCTGTCCGTCTGTCTGTAGACGAGATTTTGTCCAGACCATTTCTTGGAAACTGTTGCAAGAATTTGTCTGAAAATTTGTACACTTATTCTTTTCCATATGAAGGTGTGCACCTGGTATTTTCATCATGATTGGATAATTTTTTTGCATTTTACAGGTGTTTTTTTTTTCATTTTTATTATGTAGTTTTGTCCGGATCTGTTCCCAGAGACCATTGCATAGATTTGTATAAAAATTTGTACACATATTATTTACCATATGAAGATGTGCACCTGGTATTTTCAACATTATTTGATAATTTTTCTGCATTTTACAGGTGTTTTTTTTTTCATTTTTATTGACTTAGTCATTTCAGGTTCATGTCTAAGGTTTGAGACATAGAATCTAAAACATCTGACAGTGTACAAAAATGTGAACTACAGTTTAAAACTACTCATTAGAACTAAAAAAAAATCGCAAAGTATTGAAAACAGTTTTTACATTACACACCAGATAGTGTAAATCCGTTTGTCCCTTGGGAGTAATGAGTGGACATGCATCCAGTTAAAGATTAATTAATGAGTTCAGTGTGGGAAGCTGTTAGAGCATATCTGATCAAGCAGATCTTATCTATATCTCCTGGGAATTGGGCAGAAAGAAATAAAGATCTCTGTTGTCTAACTCTCTTAATTGTAATTTATGTCTGTCAAAATACATACATGTAGTTACTGGAACCAGCCTTTTATTTTTAAAATGAGTTTGATATAAAGGTATTAAGATCAATTTGATTTTGTATAATTAATTATGATATTTTTTTTCAACAATCAATTTGCAGAGTGTCATGTCTCACAAAGATGACAGATAGTTGCAAATATTTTTTCAGTGTAATAAAAAACACTGTAATTACTAGTATTGATGTTTTATTAGGCTGCACCTTAGTTTCATTCATTAAAAAAAAATATAATGAGTAATAAAATTTTCACTCTAAATGTTTAAGCAAATTGTGAATACCTCTCACATGTAGAAAACATTAGTGATTTGGTACCTTCTCAAAAAAAACCAGCGGGGGTATTTGTCCCTTTTGGACAGTTCTAGTTAAGAATTTCGCCGGGGATTGCAATAAAACTTCACTATATCCATAAATTTGCTGTATTCATGTTCGTACTAAACAAATTTTACTATATACATCATACAGGTATCATTATAATTTTTTTAACCTTATAAAGTAGAGATTTCATATATATGTCTGACTGGAGAAATGGCTAGATTATATTTTTTTATGTCCCAGGTCATACATAGAGGTCAAATGTAAATTTGCAACTATTGAAATTTGGAATCATTGTGTTTTTATTAAAAAAAGAAAAAAAAGAGCAAATTTATCTTGTAAATTTGATTTGTGTTGCCTGAAAATGATCCTTGAAGAACAGCTTTGCTAAGATTTTAATATTTTATTTATGTAAAATGTAGGTCAGATCCAGAGAGATATGCTGCTAAACTAAAGGAAATAGAAGAAAAAGAAAGAGAAAAATTAGAACAGATGAAAAAAGACTTATCAACACCACCAGACACTGATAAAGAAACATTGAACAATGATGGGGACAGTCAGAAGTTTAGTGGTTCATGGCCTCCTAAAGTATCAAATTTTTTTAGTCAATGTCCTACAAATTCTTTTTTATTGAAAATTATAATAGTATACATGTACTTTTTCTGAAAGTTATATGAAGAAATTAAAAAAAATTAAGATGACTATTCATGGCTGACCGGTTTATCAGTTTTCAACTTTATTATTTGAATAATTTTGAATTTTCAGAGTCTTAATGAGATAATGAAGGTGGATTTAATTAAGGACAAATCAGCATCAGAAATTGAACAGGTAGGAGATGTTAAGATGCTGTTTAACTATCTAACTGCAAATAATTAACATCCCTAGTATTGACCTAACTTATTAACTAATTACAGATTTGGAAAGAGCATCATGTGACGAAGGATTGCATATTTGGTGTGGTACAGGTAAGACCTACATCCATGTTTTGTTATACATGCATTGCAGCTAAAAAATGGATTAAAATGTTTATTGTCGTACAAAAAAAGCATATACAATGCATAATTTTAAAAAAGGAATTCATTTTCAAATGAATAAATATTTTTGATATAGACTAACAAAAAAAATATTTTTTTAATACAGGGAGGAAATTTTGATGATGTAAGACACAAGGCTCAACTTTGTCCACTGGTAAGATTCACTCTTAATCAATGAGTGCTTTTTACATCATGATTAGGCATAAATCATAAAACTTTTAGCTCATTTGAGAGAAAGACTGAAAAGATGAGGTTTTCTGAAGAAAGAGTAAATGACATTTGTTTAGCTATCTGCCTGCCTTTCTTTTGTAACTTGTCAGTACACTTATCCACTTCTCCAGAACCACTGGACCAGCTTCAGACAACTTCCATCACTTGGCACAAAGCATCCTTAGATGTAGGGAATTGATTTTTCCCCCAAAAAATTGAAAGGTCTTGGCCACTATCAGGGCCAGACAATTAACAATAAAGTTAAAAGAGTGTGGAATCTTGTCATGAATCAGATTTTTAAAAAAAAATATGAAAAAAATATGTGAAAGCTTCTTTACTGAGTAGGGACTTAATAAAATTTGTTAAAATCCTGTCATTGGGGCAAGGGTAAATGTAGGACCACAATATGGGACTAAAGATATGATATATAGAATATATATGATATATAGGGCGTCAAGCATCAGTTTGCTCTAAATAAAAATTGTTGGAAACATGGACTAATAGTTTATGGCAACAAAACAGAGTTTCATTTTTTCCCCATAATTTGACATTTGTCAGGAAGAGAAAATTGGCAAAGGTGAGCAATGTAGCCCATGAGCCTCTTCAGAGGTAAAAGCTGAACAAAGATAATATAAATATCTTTGTAAACTATTCAAGTGCCAGTATGAAATGAGTTAACTTTATGCACTTACACAAATTGCAAGTGTTCATCCAAATGTCATGTATGAACTATTTTGCAGTTTATCTACCCCTTACCAAGGAATGATGGTTATGAGTTTATTCTGTCACAATTTGATGGCAGTGTGATTTACTTCACCCCTCTAGCAGTGTACCAGTCATTAAAGGAGAATGCTCCCCCATGTCTAATTGTGGCACACTTTACAGAATTCAAGGAGGATAAAGGTATAATGAAATACATTGAAGCTTGGTTTGTGTTGGAATGAGTAATGAAACAATTTGTCATTGAAATTTCAGCTCCTCCCACCATAAGATCTATAACCATGGTAACAAAAAATAATCACAAAAACAAAAGAAAAATTTAAAAAAATATCCTTTTAAAATAAATATATGTATATTAACATTGTTATCTGTCAGAGACTGATAGAACATCATTACCTTTATCTACCTCTTGTATAAATTTCATTGGTAATGCTAAATAAATTTTTAATTCTTTGAAAGTCTTCCTCAAAGAAGGGCACCCTCTTTGTTTACGATATTTTGTTTTTTGCCTTCAGTATTTTTGTTTACTGGTAGAAGAGCAATCTCTAAAACATAAAACAAAATTAACAATATCAGAAATCAGAATGTTTAAATGATATGCCAGGAATTCATGCATTTATGATAAATCATGTCCTTAATTAAAATTCACAGCAAGAGTGTGTGTGTTTGTGTGTGTATGGGGGGGGGTTATACCATTTACTAGTATGCCTCTGGTTTTTACAGGGTTGTGAAACTGTTCATCTAAATTAACTTACTGGTAGCAATTATTAATATTTTTTGATTGGCCATTTGTTATATGGCATCGTTTTTGTATGACTGGCGAGCTGAGCTTAAATTTTAACAACAACTTGAACAAGGAATCAAAAACAATCGTTACAACATACATGTATGCCTTACAACACAAACTAGCAATCCCCAATCTTCAACGTACATGTTTCATTGTAAATTTGTATGTAAGTAAAACATTCCTTCCTGTTGGATTCAATGAGCGAATGAATCTTTGATTTATATATACAGTAAAAATGTATCTTCAGTATAATGTTTACTGAATGGAGAGTCGGGGTTACCTGATTTGCTGAAACTTAGTGAAAGACATGAATGTTTCTTATTGCGACATACATTCATCATTTTTTAAATATTTTAGGAATTGTTTTAATGGCTGGACAGTATGATGACAAGATTTTGGTAAGTACATATTAAAACAACTACATGACTGTATTTGAAAATCTATACATGTAGATGTACATGTACATGTACCCTATCTACTGTAAATCACTTTTTGTTCACGAGAACTTTATTTTCGGGTAATTACGTGAGTTTGTCTGCTTGCGAAAATTTCATTCTTGTGTATAATTGTATTAGTAAGGATTATACACAACAAAGACCATAGCTCACAAAAATTTTGTTTCGCTAATAAATACCAAATAAATATCTTGCGGAAATAATGTGTTGCGAAAATATTTCATAGAGGATATTCAATGGTTTGTAGATGAATAGGGAATTTATTTCATGAGTGGGACAGGATTTTTTGATATTTTCACGAGTGCTGAGCACTGAGAAATTATTTTTTACTTGCTTTGATATCCTTTCACACTGTGAGAGAATATCATTTTGGTATCCTTTCACACTGTGAGAGAATATCACTTTTATTCAATAAATAAATCACAGTATTTCACTGTTGAAAATGTAATAAAGTGATCTACAGTATTACGTTTTCTTTTTTATCTATTTACAGACAAAGAATGAATCGCTGAACTTAATGAAGCAGATGTCCATATATTATGGGAAATCCTCAACTGATAAATATAATGCTGTCAGAGTTTTCAATCATCTACCAGAAAAATTCAATTATTTGGACATGATAGAAAATTATAAATTCATGAAAGAAGACTTGGAAAATTATTACACGTGACTGGTTAATAGGATTGATTTTAGAATAATAAATTGAAAAAAAAAATCTGTTTGTTCTCTTTCTGGCAAAGATAGTTCAATCTTATATAGTATATACATTGTAATAAGTAATGCAGTCTGTACGGTATGTTCAATTTTAAGGAAATGATTTAGAACTGGAATTCACATGTTTGATGCTGAAACAGTAAATCCACTAAAACAAGCATTCTGAGAGTATTACATCAGCAATACTAGTCCCCTACCGGCAAGTGTAATCTGGTTCCCGTTAAAAATTGAAAATGCCATAATTCCGTCAAAAATCATTGAAGCAGAACGAAATGCAAACTTGATCTATAACTAATCAAGGTAAAATCACATACCAAAAATCAGCTCAATATCTGCAAGCGTTTAGAAAAAAATTGTGGAAAACCCTTAAAAATTGAAAAGGTCCTAATTCCATTAAAAGTCAATGAAGCGGAAAGAAATGCAAATTTGATCTGTACCTCATCATGATACACTCACATAACAAAAATCAACTCAATATTTGCAAGCGTTTAGGAAAACAGGTGCGGAAAACCAGACAGACTGGTTACTTGGGACAGACAGACAGAAGGACGGACAGATGCAGAGGAAACCTATGGTCCCCTCTGCTTTCACCGGTAGGGGACTAATAATCTGGCTCGACAATCCACACCCCTAATCAACCCCCAATGACCCCCAATTATCTATAGTCAAGTCAAGTCCTATCTGTGTGATAAACCCACTTTTTTAGTCCCCTACTGGTGAAACTGGAGGGGACTAAAGGTTTTCTCCTCATCTGTCCGTCCGTCTGTCTGTCCGTCCATCTGTCTGTCTAGCTGTCCCTCTGTCTGTCTGTCCCACTTGGTTTTCCGCACTTTTTTTCCTAAACGCTTGCGGATATTGAGCTCATTTTTGTATGTGAGTGTATCTTGATGAGTTACAGATCGACTTTGGATTTCTTTCTGCTTCAATGATTTTTGAGGGAATTACGACCTTTTTAACTTTTAAGAGTTTTCCGCCTTTTTTTCTCAACACTTGCATATATTGAGCTGATTTTTTGTATGTGTGTGTATCTTGATAAGTTATGGATCAAGTTTGGATTTCGTTCTGCTTCAATGAATTTTGAGGGAATAATGGTCTTTTTAATTTTTAAGGTTTTTCCACACTTTTTTCCCTAAACGCTTGCAGATAGCTGTTGAGCTGATTTGGGGTATGTGAGTCTATCTTGTATGGTGTCCTGATAGGGCCATTTGCAAAAGTGTAATAGCACGTTAGGAAAATGCGCTAGCACGAAGTGACAATGCGTTAGTGTGTTGTTCACAACTCGCCATCATGCTCACACACAACACACCACCACGCTAACACAACTTTACACAACACACCATCTTGCTAACACAGAACATACCATCGCGCTAACACACAACATGCCTTCACGCAAACACACCACATGCTGCCATGCTAACGCAATTTTACACAACATGCCGTCCTGCTAACATACAATACATTGTGTAAAGTTGTGTTAGCAAGAAGGCTTGTTTTGTCTTAGCGTGACGACGTGTTCTGTAAAGTTGCATAAGCATGATGGCTTATTGTGTGTTAGCGCGACGGTGTGTTGTGTAATGTTGCATTAGCTCGATGACATGTTATGTGTTAGTGCAACGGCATGTTGTGTTAAGTTGCGTTAGCGTGACGGCGAGTTTTGTGTTAGCATGACGGCATGTTGTGAACAACACACTGGCATGTTTTCACTTTGCGGTAGCATGTTGTCACTTGCAAAAGTGCAACAATGCATTAATAACAACGTGCCGGCGCATTGTCACTGTGCGCTAGCATGTTGTGCGCTAGCACGTTGTCACTTTGCGCTGGTGCATTGTTACTAACGCGCTGTTGCACTTTCAATGTGATAACACGCTAGCACATTGTCAATACATGCTAGCGCCTTGTTACTAACGCACTGTTAGACTTTTGCAAATGGCCCTATCGGGACACCAAAACCTTGATGAGTTAAAGATCAAGTTTGCATTATGTTTCACTTCAATGATTTTTTGATGGAATTACGGTATTTTCAATTTTTAATGGGAACCAGATTACACTTGCCATTAGGGGACTAGTTTTGCTAATGCAATACTCTCAGAATGCTTGTTTTATTGCATATAAATAGATATTTTTTTTGTTCACTGATAAAGAAGTTTTATCCTGCAAATCTTCGCACCTGAGTTGACATTAAATAATAACATTATTTCATGTTACTTATGTCTCTGCCTCACACACTTAATGATGATAACCTTCATGTCAAGTTTGAGCTTTTATGTTCCACATTGTATTTTGAAGCCTATATATGACCTGTGCAGGAATTTTAATTTCCAAACAAGTACAGGCATGGATGTATAGTATTTTTCAAAGTGAAGGAGTCAGTGCACCCCCCCCCCAAAAAAAAAAAATTATCAGAAAAAAAGAAAGAAAAATTAAGCTGTTCAAAATGGAGGGGGATTCTTACTCTTATTTTTTGGCAAAGAGAGAGAGAGAGATTGTATCCCTATAAACTTGAACTTGTTCAAATAGATACACAGACAGACATCTGTTTGACCTAACATATGTTTCAAGTGGGTATATTAAAGCAATATGAGCTGCAACTTTGATGTCAGAAATTTTTGTGGCAAAATTGTAATTAACAATTTCAATGCCAGAAAAGAACATTTGTAAAGTTCCAGCTTGTGATAATCCAATTTCAAACTAGTCTTTCATTTTTCATTGTAGTGAATAAACTAGATCATTAAATTAAAAGAAAATGGAGACTTATGCAAATGTCTCTGTTTTACAGGGAAAGTTTTGCATTAGAAGGCGAAAGTTACGCGTAATAACACGAAAATAACAGTTTATTCGTGAAAGTTTCGCGTTATAACGCGAAAATTTTTTTTGTTTTTTGTTTTTTTTTTTAACCTACGAAAATGAGCTCAATGGGCTTTCGTAATTATTATTATACTTTGGGTTAAAAATATAATTATTGCAAAAACAATTAAGTACTCGTGTTATATGGGATGAAAATGGTTGTTTAAATCAACATATCAGCATCAATGAGCATACAAATATGCCTATATATGGTTTATTACACAGATTAGAGAAAAAATGTCTTATTTTTGAAGTATTTTATTATTTTCATCTATGGCGCACCATAAAGAATTTCAAGCGTCTGAACTGCTGTGATTTAGCGTCTTCACGACAAAGATGACATGGCGATGCAGGATGACGTCTACATCCCTCTCATTACGAAAAGGTCCGATTTAAAGCCATTGGAGGGCAAATATTGGACGAGGTTAGTGTAACCGAAGCAATCAGTAATTCTATCATTTAAAAATAATACATGGCTGTGAACTTTTTGACAACATGTCATAGAAAGCGTGTTACATTATTTAACTCGAATTTACTCTTGCAAAATATGTACAATGGTTATAGCTGCAGAACTGTAGCGTTATGGTTTTATATGTTTGTCTTTGACCATAACGCTACAGATTCTGTAATGCAAATATTGTGCAATTTACGGCGCAAGATTTTCTATAACCAATATGTATATTTTATCCATCTCTTAACCCTTTCTAGTCGTCTCTACAGACCAGTAAACCAGCTTGTGAATTTTATGCCATCCGACAACAAATTCACCAGAAGTTTTATATTTAAGTCTTTTACCATAACGCTACATATTCTTTAATGTAGATGTTGGGCAATTTACGGTGCAAGATTTTCTGCCTACAGTTGGGGAGAATTTCTCCTCTTTCCAGCATTGGTCAATCAACTACCTTTCATTCTCTAATTCTAGACATACTTTTTAACCAAACAGTATATTTTATTCACCTTCTTACCCTTTACAGTGGTCTCTACAGACCAATAAAGAGCCATAGCTGCCTTACCGATGACACGGCCGACTCAAGAATTTAAAAGGAAATTACCTGTTTCTATTTATAGATATACTGTACCTTTTCAATTCATGAGCAAACTATGTAATATGATTTAGGACGAGTGTTATATTTTCATAGTTGCAAGTATGTCAAATGACAATCATTTTACTTGTTCAATACTCTAATTCTGAGACAAAAGATTTACGCAGAAAATCAATAACAATAAAACAAGTTGCTATGAATTTGCAAACTTTAATAAAATAGTTGACTGTCTTTTTCCAAGATACTTTCAAAGTGTAATGTGTATATTATAACTTTCTGAAATTGTGTATATTATAAAACATAATTAAGAAAAACGTTGAAAAGATACACAAAGAAAAAAAATTAAAAAAACATGAATGGAAAAATTTGGGGCTCGAGCTCGCAATCACCATATTTACATTCCAGCAATCATACCGCTGCGCCAACGAAGTCAATGATGTCAAGTTGATAAATTTAAGACAGACGATTATATGAGAAGAAAAATTTAATATACATTTTCATCATTTTCAATATGAAGACCACCTTTAACCAAAATTATCTAAAGGGAATGAAGTGCAGACATATCCAAATAGAATTATTCAAAAGTTGTTTTTCTGGTTAAGGGTGGTCTTTGGCAACAGTTTGTCATCGTTAGGTGGATACCTCAATATTTACTATATATTCTATACAAACTGGATAATTTTCAAATTTATCATACGAGGGAACTATTAACATTTCAATATAATTATTGTGTGATTTGGTTTAAAGCATGTATAAACTAAGACTGTATGACAAAATTTTGGTTAAAAAATGTATTTAAGAAATCACTAGTAGAGTAGGCGAAAATGCCTATCAAATGCGCTATGGCTCTTTGATTGTTTTGAATTTTCTGCCATCTGACGAAAATTCAAAACAAGTGAGTAAACTGGTCTATAGAGACAACTGTAAAGGGTTAAGAGGTGAATAAAATATATAGGTTGGTTAAAAAATATCAATGACAGCCCTTACATTTTTTTGTCATTAATTTTGATTGTCCTTTATGTACCAGAAGTTATCATGCATTGATTGCATTCATTGGACTCTACTTATATAAATAATATTATCTTTGCAGTGATTTTTCTACAATTTTTAAAAGGGGCCTGTGCCTTTTCAATAGGGAAAAATTGTCGACATTTGTGTCAAATTGGGAAAAAACAATAAGATTGTAATTAACCTTCATATTGACAAGTAAAATAAAATAATAAGTAAATGTAATATCATTTATTGAATTTATTTGCTACAAAATTTTTCATGTTCAACAAAATGGACAGTTCTACATTTTAATTTTCTTTCATTTTTGTATTTTGATTGTCCTATAGATATTCTTTTTTTTTTTTACCATTATGGTAGAATTATAAATTGAGAAAAAAAAATCATTCCCGATTTCTCGTTATTGCTCGCATTGGAGATGGAATAATCTTGACACTATTTACAAGCATGTATTGCTGTATCGCATATTTCTCTGCAATGCCAGTCTCTGCAGGATGAAGAAACAGTTTAATTTTCGTGAAATCAAGGACACTTGTTGTAGAACTACTAGTACTTGCAAATTACAAATAAAGCTATGCTTAACAGATTCACATGCATATTTAAATTTCTTACGATGTATTGACACAAAAGTTTGACTTCCACATGATCGATTTTCCAAGGCTTGCAAACACACAATTAAACTGTTGTTTTTCGCCGTTATTTTAAGCGTCCGAATGACCAAAAACAATAGCGTTCCATTATAGATAAGTCGTACATAAAAAATTCAATCAAACCAAAACAATACGTTTTGATTTTGGGAAAAAAACAGTTGAAAATTGGGAAAAAATCGGTAATTTTTAAGAGGGGAAAGGGCCGATATTCGGACCTAAATTGAGTGTAGAAAAATCACTGCTTTGGTTTTCAACTTGTAAGATAAATTATTTCAAAGCTCTATATTTGACTGTCCATAGAATTGTAATTTGTATCAGATGACCCTCTGAATCTTAGAAAATATATTTTTCTCTCATGTTTATGTTTTGAAGAGCTGAGAGGAAACAATGGGCAGCTGGTCTATTTATAGGATGTGCGGTCTTATACGCGTGTCGGACTGTTACTCCTTTGTGTGTGTCAGCCATGGCCAAAGAGATGGGGTGGGATAAAACACAATCAGTAAGTTGCATTTAGTTGTTTCATTTTTTGGTATTACTCAATAGCTGTACAGTTTAAACTGTGTAATCCAACACCTGTACAATCCATTTCACTGTGAATTCCAACCTTAATTTTTCATTCCCGCATTACTATTTTTCATGTTCTTTGCACTGTGCAATCTACACCCTGTCTTTTTTTAATACTAAATTTGTGTCCCAGTGTATGTTGGATTAGAAAGGTTTCACTGTACATGTAATTTTTTTATTAAAACTTATGCATTGTTGACTTTGCTTCTTGTGTAGGGATCTGTGCTTTCCTCCTTTTTCTGGGGATACACCATGACCCAGTTTCTGGGTGGATATTTAGCAGATAAGATTGGAGGAGATGTCATTTTACCTATAGTAGCAGTATTCTGGTCCATGATAACCTTCTGGACCCCTCAACTTGTTCACCTGTCAACAGACAGAAACCTTACAATACAGATTATTGTTGTCTCTCGGGTTTTCCTTGGCATGTTCCAAGGTAATGCATCTTACTTATATATTAACTCATTAAAAAATATTTCATGTCACTTTACATGGTCATGGTTTCATTATTTGAGTATCATTTAGACAATTTTACATATGTTGCATTAATATTTTTCAAATGTTTAGTACAAAGTATCAGTATTTTAAACAATAAATGTAGATGTAGTTTGCAGTTTGAAAAATATACATTTTGTGAACTTAATGAATCCAACTTTCAACGAAATTGTTATATCATATTTTGAACATGCTTATCATAAGATAATTTTATACACACAATACATTGTCTGAAAATTTGATGAATTTTAAACTGATCAAGAATATCCCAAAGATACCAAGACATTTGTCTTTTCATGTAAGGGTACATTTGCATCCTTAATTTGAGCTTTATCCATAAGTTATGGTTCTATACAGGAGGCTACATGCCTAGTTCCATCAGTATGCTTGGACAGTATGTACAAGACCCAGTCAGGTCGTACTACTGTGGTCTGATAACGTCCGGGCAATATGCTGGGTAGGTCACAGAGGGTTGTATAAAAAAACAAAGCTTATCTGTACTACAGTGATCAGACAAGTGCTTCATTTTATTTCAACCAGCCATTTATAATAACTTTTGATAAAGAAGTACAAACAGAAATTCTGCTTTTCTTTGAAATTCTAGTATGACTTGTTTGGTCAAGCGGGGATATACCCCTGTATCATTGTAGATTATTTATACACCCTAGCTCATTTTGCTGTTACTATTGAACTTTACTTATGGATTCATAGAACATTGACTGAGCTGGCCATCTCTCTCTCTCTCTCTTAGTTGTGGGAAACATTGTTGATTTTTCTCTGACTTTCTGTGATATCTGTAGATATTTCCCTTGTAGAGCTGAGCATGCTTGCCTTATGTTGCTTTTCTTATTGACAGGGTTCCATTATCCCAGTTTTAGCTCCATTATGTCCAGGAAAGTTTCTGACCAGGAGCGATCCTTCACCTATAGTTTTATTTGTTCTGGATCTCATTTTGGGTAATTAACAGTTCTGAATACAGTGTTCTTTGAAAAAATTATTTTCATATTGAAAATCAGTTTTTCTCATTTTTTACTTTTTTTTCAATTAACAAAAGTAAGCTTAATGTATTTTGTCTGCTTGATATTAAATTTAATATCAAAAAAATAAATAAATAGATAAATTAAAAAAAAGAATAAATAAAAAAAAAATTTTAATTAATATCTAGAACTTATGCAATTAAATGTATATTTTGTAAATAGTAAAGATTTTTACATTCCAATATCTTAATACTCTCTGTGAGTTGCTTTTTTTCTTTGTTGTTTGGCTGATTTGATAATTCTTCCACCACTACTACTCACAAAATTATTAGAGCGGTCCTTGCATTATGTAAAAAGTTAAATGAAATGGCAGAAAAACTTGTATTCCCTTCAATAAAATAATTGTTTGACAGTGTTTCATTTACCTCATTAATATAATACTGTGTACATGAATAACAGCTGCTCAAACAAGCATGGGTTGTGTCCATTTCTTTGCTGAGCTTCCTTCCATGGGGAAGCATAGCAGTATAATTATGTACAATGTATTATCATTAATTATCTCATTAATACATGGTACATTGTTTGTATATAAATTTTATCACATATGTGTATATATGCACTGCATGTGTTAGTTCCTGGTATTGAGGATATGGAATTTAACGGGAACCTCTCATCTCAGTGTCTTAACTTATTTGTACTACAATTGAACTATTTCATGGTCAGTTAAATTTTAAAATTTTGTACATTGCATTTTTATTTTGATGCATTCCCAATACTCATTTTATATTATAGCAGATTCAAAAAGTACATGCTTATGATGATCATAGGGATTAAATTCACACACAGATATTTTTATTTAAAAAATCTTTTAAATAGCATTTATTTTTATTTGTATTGCAATACTTTTTTTTGTATTTACATTGTAGTTGAAAATTATAAAGTTTATTTTAGGACTTGCTGTGTGCTATTAAATAAATAACTTATATTTTTTTTTCAGTACTTTACTATGTGGAAGTATCGGATCTATACTTTTAGAAAACTTTGGATGGCAAAGTGTTTTTTATTTTGTTGGTAAGTACAATGAACTTTTGTTATTTTGTGGGATGTTTAAGACTGGTTCCCAGATTGGGCATATATACTATGAGAACTCTGTATTCCTTATTTCAGGTTTGTGCAGTATACTGTGGATGCTGTGTATGAGGTATTTGATTATAGAGAGACACAGGCGGAAGTATCTCCAGCCCCCCACCCTCACAGTCAGTGACAACACAGTCCTGGCAGAAAAATTCCCTGAGAAGAAATCCGTGCCATGGTTGATGCTCTTCGTCAAACCTGCTTTCTGGTATGTTTTTATCTTTTTTATTTAGGGTCCCACTTAAAAATTCAAGAGCCAGATCATATTCACTGTGTCTGTCTGTCTATCTATTCATACACGTATTTCTACGACAGAATAGGATGATTTTTGGTTCTGTTCTCATCACGTTTATTATTGTTATAGACATGCCCATTGATATCCAAAAGTATGTACAGTAAAATTTGTTTAATTCGGAGTCTGAGTGTTCCGGAATTTTGTCAATTTCGCCTACAAATTTTAGTCCCATGCACTTCTTTAACAAATGTATTATAAAAAATTCTGTTTAGTCCGGATACTGTATACATGTATATTGTGTATTCTGAACGGTAAAATTGGTCCCAACTACCGGTACTCATAATTAATGGCAATTATTTCCTCTAATCCGGCCAAGCAGAATAACCTGAGTCACTTCAATGCAATTAACACCTTTTGTGGTAGATGTGCTAACGTGTGTTTACATAAGGGTCATTAGACAAACTGAATCGTGGTGGTTACACAACCCACTTTAAGAAATATAAAGTTAAGTTAAAATTAGATTTTAAAAAATGCTTACATATTTAACTTGCTCACACAATATAACATAAAATCAATGACAATATAGGTACACAATTTACAAATCAAAATATAAATCAGGATCGAAACTCAAACGTCTTATTTCAAAATGGCGCCATAATATTGAAGGGAAGACATAAATGTTAGCATAAAAAATAAAAATGTCAATTCAATAATTAACAAATCGTAAATAATTGTGTTTGTAGTTAAGTTGAATGCGCTTTTTGACTTGAAAAACCGCACTTGATATACACGTGTCTGTAGATTCTGACTGTGTTAACATTTCACGCTGAAAGTCTCAAACTTTATGAATGAAAAATAAAAATTGACAGTAAGTCATCCGATACTATTAAATAATTTTAGACTCCATAAATATCAAATGATTTTATCATTTAATTATATTTTTTTCAACATATGCATTGAACATGTTAATAAAACAACGGAAATAAATTTCAAATATATTTCTGCATTTTTTCCTGCACTCCGGATTCTGTCTAATCCGGCCAAATTTTGTGGAACCGTTGGTGTCCGATTTGGACAAATTATACTGTATATATACATGTACCTGTCTGTTCTATAGTAAAACTCTGTAGCACTATCTGTTTTTAGTCTTTTGCAGTTTATTGTTAAATATTTACATTTCCAAATATTTTTCCTTAAGATTCTCTGCAAATTGGGAAAAGTTCATGTTCTCATGAACTACTTTGGGATGAGTAAGAATATTTCATTGTGATGTAATTGAAATCCAAAAAAAGTGCAAATTTTTTTTTCAAAAATGATCATTGAATGACAAAAATATGTGGCAAGTCATCAGAAAAATAATGTAAATATAAGAAATGAATTTAATTTTTGAGAATTCATGAGGTACATGAACTACAATGTTTCACACCTGCATATTTATCATGAAGCACTAACACAATTCATGAAATATGCCGGCGTGAAGCGTCATAGTTCATGTCCTCCTGAATTCTCAAAAATTAAATTCATCTGTTATATATACATGTATTTATCCATTAACAGGGAACAATTTATATTTCAGGTCTCTGTTAGTAGGACATTTTTGTGAAAATAATGCCTTTTATATCTTGTTGTCTTGGTTGCCAACATATTTCCATGAAAATTTCCCAGATGCAAAGGTAGATACATCTGTTTTTAAATGATCAAAGAAAAGTTATTTTCCATTTAAACTGTTCTCAGTATACTATCATTACCATAATGACCATAATTGCTGACTATCGAAAAATCGTTGCTGAAGGCAGCATGTCGGTGACAATCGATAGAAAATTTTTATACAAACTGGTTCATCTTTTAAAATTATCAAAGGACATTCTTCTATTTCTCTTGCAAATGGCAGAAAATTTTCATACTAAGCATAAATTGAAGTTGGTCTCACAGATTTGTATTGAAATATTGTTTTCATTTTCAAGGATATCTGAATATTTGCTGGTTAACTTTATTTAGTTTAACCTTTGAATTAAGGTTCAAACTATCAATCATATAATCAATTTTATGCTACCAATTCAATTTGATAATTGATAGTAAATTTGGTCCAATTTTGCAACACTAAAAATTAGTCTGTCAATGCTTTATATTACTGTATATACTCACCTATAAGTCATTTTTTGGGGAGTTAAACTTTGGTCCAAAACTCTGTATCTGACTTATATGCAAGTTATAAAAAGATTGGTATTTTAACAGGCCAATCCCTCTAAATTAAGCTTAATAAATACAACCGACTTATAGGTGGACCGACTTATAGGCAAGTATATACGATACCTTATTTACATTTTAGGGCTGGGTGATTAATGTGGTGCCCTGGGTGTTGACCATATACACGATACAGTTATTTACATTTTAGGGCTGGGTGTTTAATGTGGTGCCATGGGTGGTGACCATGCTTAGTTCCATTTTCAGCGGCTGGCTCGCTGATTACATGTTGTCTAAAGGTCAGTTTATAAACCAATACATGTATATACCAGTAATGTTCTGTTGTGTTAAATTCATATACCTGATCAGCATATAAAGTTATCTATACCAGTAATCACTTTATGTGTTAAACTCATTTAGTACTCGGTAATAACTTTGTTTTGTTTTTTTGTTTTTTTCACACTGCTTGTTTCACTTACTTTACAAAAGTTATTATTCAATGTAAATTTATGGAGAGGTACTTGCTTTAAAGTAATATGTCTCTTTCTACACTTACAGGGTGGAGTGTAACATTTGTCAGAAAATTTATCGAGGTAAAGTGTTTAAATGCTGAAGATAGTCTGTGTTGTTGATTTATGTTAGGATCATGTCTATCTTGAATCTTCTAATTTATTCTGCTGTGTGTTTTGGATTACTTTCAGTCTATAGCCTTATGTTTTGGATTACTTTCAGTCTCTAGCTTTATGTTTTGGATTACTTTCAGTCTCTAGCTTTATGTTTTGGATTACTTTCAGTCTCTAGCTTTATGTTTTGGATTACTTTCAGTCTATAGCCTTGTGTGGTACTGCCTCAGCATTAGTACTTCTGTCTTACACCAGTACTTATGGATCGGCTCTAGTGTTGATGGCTATAGCTGTGATGTGTTGTGGTTTCCACAACAGTGGGATACTGGTGAACCCTCAGGATATAGCTCCTACACATGCAGGATCTGTCTTTGGTAAATATAAAGCTAGATTTAGATACATGTACTAGTAAAGCATAGGATATAACTCCTACACTTGCAGGATCTGTCTTTGGTAAATATAAAGCTAGATTTGGATACTAGTAAAGTAATGGATATAACTCCTACACATGCAGGATCTGTCTTTGGTAAATATAAAGCTAGATTTGGATACTAGTAAAGTAATGGATATAACTCCTACACATGCAGGATCTGTCTTTGGTAAATATAAAGCTAGATTTGGATACTAGTAAAGTAATGGATATAACTCCTACACATGCAGGATCTGTCTTTGGTAAATATAAAGCTAGATTTGGATACTAGTAAAACATAGGATATAACTCCTACACTTTCAAGATCTGTTCTTGGTAAATATAAAGCTAGATTTGGATACTAGTAAAATATAGGATATAACTCCTACACTTTCAGGATCTGTTCTTGGTAAATATAAAGCTAGATTTGGATACTAGTAAAACATAGGATATAACTCCTACACTTTCAGGATCTGTCTTTGGTAAATATAAAGCTAGATTTGGATACTAGTAAAGCATAGGATATAACTCCTACACTTTCAGGATCTGTCTTTGGTAAATATAAAGCTAGATTTGGATACTAGTAAAGCATAGGATATAACTCCACACTTGCAGGATCTATTTTAGAGTTAGGCTACTAGTTAATCCTCAGAATGTACAGACATATTTCATTAGTCACTTGCAAAAGTGATGTCATGACATTTTTAATGTAGGGGTACTTATTAACAAAACAAAGAAAATAAAGAGGGTTAAGCCTTCTTTTTATTAGTACTTTATCATTTCACCTTTGACCCTCATTATTTCCCTTATGTATCTTGGTAACCATTGGTGAGATCTGTAAATGTCGACTACAGGCAGTGGTTGCCATTTTGTGTGTTTGACAACATCAGAAAGTTCCTCAGCAGTATGCTTTTGGATTGCTGTTGCAGTCTCCTTGTTAACTTTTCCACACATGATGTCAATAAATTGTATTGGCCAACTGATAATAGTATTTTTTACCTTTAATTTTCTCTGGCACAATGAATCACGGTATTGTCATCTTGGAAAAAGAAGTCTTGAGCAGAGAAACTCTGATTATAATGGGCAACAATTTATTATGCTAATGTCTGTCGTTCCATCAACAGCTGTTAAAGTCCCAACACTGCAGTAGCCTAAATATTTTACCTACTGCTTCATTGGAGGGAGGGGATAGTTTAGAGCATCACCATATGAACATGCTCAGATTTGCCCCCACATCTCAACTTTGATTAAGAACATGGTATTGAAGTTAAGTGTGTACCTGATAAAGGGGTGGTATTTTACTGTACTGCTTTATGATGCAGTTGATTTCATTTTCAAAGACATTTACAGTAATAATTGAATTACATTACTTAAGACTTCATTTTGCCCAGTTTATAATGTGTTATATTTTCCATTTCAGGTATTATGAATATGGCAGGTGCTGTTCCTGGTGAGTTTATATACTAGAACAGTGTACAGAGTTTTCATTGTTCTTTCCTTTTAGATTTTGCCATAATAGCTTATATTTTAAAGATTAATCAGCATAAACAATAAAAGATAATGAAAATTTACAACAAATTAAATGTATGTAGAAAGTTGTTAAGTATGAGATATTCAGCAGTGCCCTTACTAAAGATGTGGATGTTCAGTGATCTCGGTCCTTCCACAATTTCTTTCTTTATTTTTTTTCTTTATTTTTTTTTTTTATTTTTCCATTTATTTGAAAAAAAAATATTTGACCTTTAATTGAAGAATTTATCACTAAAACACTTTGCCCTGACTTTGAAGTAATGAAGGATTAATCACCAAAAAAAAAAAGAAAAAGAAATCTCCAAATGACCTCCAAAAAGTCCACATTCAGGCAATGGTGCACATATCTATACCAATTATATGATTTGGGAGATTTAACACAAAATATATACATGATTCATTTCTGTGTTTAAAAGTTGTGTGTCATGAAATGATCTTTTCTCAGGGTAACATTGGTAGAAGAAAAAAACCATAATATCTATTGTATTCCATTGATTTCCTGGATGTGTTTATATTATAGCTTTGTTTTTTCAGGCTTTGTTGGTGTGTACTTGGCGGGCCATGTACTAGAAGCCACTAAGAGCTGGGGAGCCGTGTTTAATCAAACAGCTGGGGTATGCATGTTTGGATGGCTGGTTTATATGATATTTGGGACTGGAAAGCGGATAGTGTAAACTCTGTGTCTTGCCTTGTATGTGACATCTTGATTTTGATATGTACAGCAGTATTTATTTATGAGGTGAACTGAAAGTAGCAGAGCATTAAATGACAAACAACAAAAAGAGAGAAGGGAGAGAATGTTTACTCAGTTTTGTGGCATGTCAAGTCTTACTACAACAAATGTTTGAAAATTGTGCTCAATGTATTTTATCACAGGAGATATGCTTATAAGTTAAATAGTGTATTTTCTTAAAATGTAACAAGTACATGTCAGAAAGACGGGAGAAATGTGAAACTGTGACCAGAAACATTTTAGAATTTTAAAACACATCCATTGATACCAAATATGAGGCATATGAAATCATGATACAATTGTGTAACAATCATTATGGTAGTTTTTTTTATAAAATGTCACTATACCAGGCTTGTGGCGGTGCATACAGTTGTTGGCAACAATATACATCTAACATCACTGCACTTATTGTTCTCTATTGGCACAAATGTACTTTGGCTGAAAAATTATACATGTACATATTGTATGCCTACCTTCACTGCACATTTTTGGCCCCACAGTTAGGGTTGCCTAAGGATTTTTTTTTTATAGTAAGTATTGTGGAATAGATATTATCTAAGCAGTATCCATACAGGTGACAAAACATACCATCACAGGGCTAAGTATTGTGGAATAGATATTATCTAAGCAGTATCCTTGGTTTATAGGGCAAGGCTGGGTATGTTGACATGAGTGTTACATGAGAATTTTTTGTGCAAACAGAATGTAAATTTTATCTTGTGGAAATGTTTGCTCACAAAAAAGAGTGCATTTAATGCAAAATAAATGACAATTGTATGTTTCAGTTTTACATGTATGTATGTATGTATGTATGTATGTATGTATGTATGTATGTATTGAACTTGCCATGTGTTTAGGAGGAGCTGTCTCAAGATAGGGATATTCTCCTTAAGATCATTAATGCAGTCTTGAAAAGGTTTGGAATAACACAAGGTAGCTTGGAACTTCTAGAAATCTTTTTTTTTATTTACATTTTCGTGACTTTAAATGAAAAATTGTAATATTTTTTCTTAATTTTTATGAAATTCTATAACCACAGTAAAACATTGATCCACACCCAAAAAGAAATGGGGAACTAACACAGTGTTTATAAGGTAAAATGTCATTTTTCAATGAATGCCACTTTCTTAAAGATAAACTGATGTCTATGTTACATGTATATATTTTTATTCTGAAATGATAATTATTATCTTCTGTAATTGTGTATGATCTTATCCTCAGATGACTTTTTACAGCAAGTTTCTGAGGTACACCCCATTCAATCTGCTTTTGATTTATGCCCCTTCAATGAGTTGTAGTGGGGTATGCTGGAATCACCGTAACTGTCTGTAGGTGGAAGAATTACTTCGTGTTCAGATCACAGGCTTATCTCATGGGTATCCGAACCAAACTTGTAAATGTGGTGAATATGTGGATAGTGATATACATAATGTAATTCTGCCACCTCTGCGCGCGGCTATCAGTCTTCTTTGGACAACACTAGTTATTGTAATTTTAAATATTAATTTAACTAATAAACAAATATACATGTATATCAATATATGATACATGAACATGTATACGATTAACTAGTATAGTTTACAAGTATAATTGACTTATTTTATCAAATGTTACTTTGTTAAGTATTGAATACTTTTAATATCCTGTTGATCCCTAAATATGTCATAAAGTACATGTAGTTCCCTACATATTTCCTTCCAAAGATTATGAACTGTACAGTTTGGTTTGATGTATATTCAAATGAATGGCTAACAAGAGTATTTATTGGGGGAGAGTATCATTATGTACATTTTTATTCAAGGAATTTGGGTATGTAGAAAAATGGTTTTCATTTCCAAGTGGGAGATTTTAAGTTAAGTAGCTCAATATATTGCGTTGTTAAGAATGAATTAAATTTTTAGTGTGTGTAAATTACCTGTATATTTTATTCACTAATTAGATTATTTATTTTCATGCCAGTGTGCCACTGAGGGACAAATTATTTATTTCCAAGATTTTCATGGACAAATTATTTATTTTGTTCCTCTTTAAAAAAAAGTTTGACAAGCAACCAAAAAAAAAAAATAATAAAAAAGCCGAACTCCAAAACTATAAGGGGTGGAGTGGGAGTAGATTATTTATTTTCGAGGACAGATTATTTATTACCGATTATGATTTTTTAATATATAATATTGGTGTCAAATGATTCACAGTATAGAGTGTGTAAAGTGTGTATGTTAGGTTTCAACGGGCAAAAAAACTTAAAATAAGAAAATCTGATGTCAACTGCCTATAAATGTGACCAGTATTTGTGCTGCTTTTATTTTGTATTTATAAGTATTTATATAACAATGTTGTACACCGTCCAGTTGTTCAGGCGTGTCATTAATACTTAAGATGTGAGTAACAGCACACTTCAATTACTAGTATGGACATTGTTGTAATGCAACCTTGTTTAAGGCTTCAAGAATTGGGGGGGGGGGGGGGGGGGTTAATATGTTTCAACAAAAAAGGGGCAATCCTTTTCTTTCCTGTACCAGAAAATTATGGCAACAATATTTTATGTACATGTAATGAACTACACTCGTATCATGTTATGTTTGTCTGCAATATCTTTTGCAATATCAATTTTTTTTTGTGGGATTTTTTGTTAGGTTTTGTACTAATGTATTGGACAATTAAAACAAATGTTGAATATTTGTAACTTGTTGCTTAATGTATATGCATTTAAAAAGTAATGAACTTAATCAAAGGCTAACTTGTCATGTTTCATTTTCATGTGTGTATGGCACGCCAAATTCACAAAAATTAGATAAACAAAGTTTAACAATTGATAAACTAGGTTTGTCATTTGTAAACTATAGTTTACGAACTGTAATCTATAGTTAACGATTTGTTAATTATAGTTTTCATCTGTAAACTATACTTAACGGTTGTAAAGTGTAGTTTACGAATGCTAATCTAAGTTTATCGGTCTGTAAATAAACGTTAACGATAGATTTTACGGATAAATATAGATTCTCATTTGTAATCTATAATTTACATTCGTTAACCATAGTTAAGAGTTGTTAATCATAGTTTCACAAATCGTGAAACTATATTTTTCAGATAACTATGTTTTACATTCGATAATTATAGATTTCGGTCGTAAACCATAGTTAACTGTCATAAATACTCATAAACTGTATTTAACAGACGTAAACTATACTTAACGATCGTAAACGATAGATTTGAAAGACATTTGCCAATCATAGTTTCTCGTCATAAACTATAATTCACACTCGTAAACTATAGTTAAGAGTTGTTAAATATAGTTTATGAATCTAAACACCTGTTAACTGAACATTAACGATGGTTTTCAATTCAAAATCTAATTTAATTGCTAAAGGAAATACTGAATGTGTTTCATTGCCGTAAGTTTCTCTTGTTGGTAATCTTCAATATATAAGTCAAGCTTTCAGCTCCTCTTTTGATACCAGCAAAGCTCAGTCAATTTTGTTTGATCAGCGTAAGAGGTTGGAAAGACGGCAAGGATAATTCCGTTGCTGATGAAGTAAAATTGGATTAAAAACCGTCAAAGTGCAATTTTCCTTTCTTTCTCTGAGAAATAAAAAAATAAATTTTAATCAATAATTTTCCTGTCATTTTCTGTTTATTTCCTACTAGATTTGCTGTACAATGAAAGAACATTTACTTATTATGTCAACAAGAAATATATATATTTAACAACCAATGAAAATAACCGTTGTATATAGCTAATTCTTATCATGATCATGCTGTAACTAGAATTAACCTATCGATATGTATAATTTACGGACAAAACTATTGTTAACTATAGTTTTGATCGTAAAATATACTTTAGAGTCGTGAAATATAGTTTTACAGAAAACTGTGCATCTCCGATACAAAATCAGAGATTCTGGCGTTAAACTGTGTTTCTCAACTGTAAAACTATATTTATCAAAATTTTGTGAATTTGGCGCCTTAAATATCTGTAAACTATAGTTTACAACCGTAAATTATAATTAACATACGTTAACATATTACAGAACGTGAATCCGTATTTGTTTTGCAATTGCAAATGACTGTTTGTTGTGTTAAGTATAGTTTACACTTGTAAAACATAGATTAAGGCGTTAACTATAGTTTAGAGATGTGAAATATAGATTAACGTCGTTAACTATGGTTTACGGTCCGTAAACTATAGTTTACAGTCGATAAACCTTGTTTATTAACTGTGAAAGTCAAATTTTGTTTAGCTCACTTTTGTGAATTTGGCGTGCCATAATAATATGTATGCATTTTGAAGGGAGGGTACTAAAGTTTCGATATTTTTTTTCATAGCATACTAATACTCGTAAAAAACAGTTATAACAACAAGAATGTTTGTTTTTAACCTAGAATTGAGAAGTTTAGAAATGCACTTAATAAACAGAGGTGTGTGTTTTTTGTTTGTTTGTTTGTTTGTTTTTTAAATTTATCTTTATTTTATTTTATTTATATATTTATTTATTTTTGTACAAAAGCACCCTCTCCCTTCAATTCCTTCCTTCACAATATATCTATTGCTATTTCCTTTCAACAAAAGAAACTTCTGACCCATGTCACATTCTTCCAGTTTTACAATTTGTAAGAAAAGTTTCGATTCCAGTGTCGAGATTTTGAAATCGTTTGGATGGGGATAAACCTTAAAACAAACAATGCTGGCCAAGGCTTATTGACCATATTTGTGTGGACATTACAGCCACCAATTTAATGGATTTCCGATGACCTAGATTTGTGCATTGACTGGATCCTCCGCTATTAAACTTCCACACCGCCTACGATTTGTGGATTATTTTTAGATACAGTCGACACCCGAGACAAAAGCCTCACCCAAAAATTTAGGAAGCAAGTATTTCTTTAGTATTGTTTTATAACGCTTAGATTAGAAATGCATAGTTAAAATCATATATGTGGCCAAGGAGTGTAGTGCAGATTTTATTTACATGTTAACGTGAAAATATGTTAATGAATGTTTACGTTACGATGTACACGAGGACAAGAGAACCGATTCTTGTAACTCATCTTGCACTTAAACAGGTTGGAGAGAATACTCGAAATCGGGTATTATCCGTGAAATCGCGTATAGTCCTCGATATCAGGGTATCGTTGAATCCGCGAAATCGGGTATACCGTGCAACTTTCTATAAAAACAGAAAAATAAAGCAACGGCGCATTGTCTCAGTTAGTGTTACTTGTACTTCAGTAGATAGAACGTTCTATCGTTAAAATGACATTGTCCTACGGACCCGGTTTAACGATAGAATTCGTTCCGTGTATTGGCTATGTAGCAAAATAAACACGGGCGATAACTCGAACTCTGTGCATTTTCTATGAACAATCCAGAGAGTTCCGAATGTCAACATGGCGTTAAATTTGAAGCGAGGAAAAAATGTTGAGAAAATGAGTTGAATTTTCGTATTTATATGGATTATTTTTTAGGTTAAAAGGCATATACAATCTCAAAAAGGTTTGTTATGATTAACTTGGTTGTTATTTTCAGTGCAACTCCTTTTGTATTCTTCAAAATCATTTCGGAGTGGATCCACTCCGATTTGCTACATTGCAAGTATATGGGACGTATTCTAACTGTGGTGAGGGCTTGTCCCGAGACACAGTTAGATTATTCTAACTAGTACTTCAGTATCTTGGGAGTTTATTTTTATTGAACTCAATTTAAATGGTTGTCTGACAAGTTTAAAATCACACGACAAACACTGCTGGGGAAGCAAAGAAGGCACGGTGGCGTCTATTCTCTACTGAGAAGTTGATGGCTCGTTTTAATACTCCCCCTAAACTTCTCTACGAAAGGCCTAATAAAAGCAGTTCAGAAATTGACTAAATGAAGAACCAAAACCGGGTCCCACTTCGATCGGTGTTTTAGGATTGATGCATTATCATAGGCATATTTTGGATGCACAGATGTTGTTTAGCAAAGGAAATGCGATTATAAATGCCGATTCTGCTGACTTAAAAAACATTCATCACAGTAGAACACTTACTTGCGATATCTGTGTCACCGGATTCCTTCATTCATTCAAAACTGCGTTGACCTCTAAGAAAGTCTAAAACTTTTTATCCGGATAAATTGTATTAAATGTTTCAGTGTAAAATAGTTATCCGGAGAAATAGTTTTAGACTTTTTTAGAGGTCAAACGCAGTTTTGAATGAATGAAGGAATCCGGTATGTAAGGAATATGTAAGGAATGCTATTCAACGACAAAAAAATCAACTGATGAAAATGGATTCAGAACACCCCCCCCTCCGAAAAAATACTAAATAATATACGCGTTATATTAGTTTTTGCCGTAATTTTAAACATTTTAACCATTAAATAGTTTATACATTTTGTAATGAATTATTTTTATGCACAAGATGAATGTTAAAGCAATTAATTACGCATAATTAAATACGATAGAAAACCCCCTGTTTAAATGTCAGATTATTTTGTGTGTGAAATGTGTTTCCATATAAATTGAATTATTTACAAAATGTTCATGTTTGTCGTATTGATGTGGAAATATTATAAATTCCAGACTTCTGATATTTAATAGTTCTGTTGTGTTGGGTATGAACATGAAGAAGATGCAAATACATTTAACATTATATAAAATATAAAAGCAGAACGAACGTTTGTTTGGGTGCAGATCATGAAATGTACTAAGCTCCACGGGTATTTGTTGTCCTATGCGCATTAATTCAGACTTCCAAATTGATATTTGGCTAGTGATACCTTTAGATAACATTTGTCTCTAGGTGAAAGTTGACTCGGCAAAATGCGCCATCCCATTGTTTAAGTTTTATAAGGTGATTACACTGCCTATACCCCGATTTCGCGGATACAACGATACCCCGATTTCGGGGACTATACGCGATTTCACGGATAATACCCGATTTCGAGTATTCTCTCCAACCTGTTAAAGAGGATCTCATTGGGGGGGGGGGGGGTTACACATTGTGATAAAAGAAGTGATTTTTCTCTGTAAATCCATTCGATACGAGGATGTTAATTTAGTGTTTGGGTAACCTTTTAAGCTAGCCCTGTTTTATAGTATTTCAATTAGGAGTTGGATAGAGTGTTTATAACTATCCTCAGGATTGCACAAATAGATGTAAGACAGGATGTTGTAAGGCTTAATCCACACGTGCCGTAATATTGGACACTTGATACAAATATGATGGATCATCATCTCTAAATTGTTTGGAATACTAATACGTATTGTCTTCCTGTATATAAATACATGTGCCTACCCTCACTGCACATAATGTCGCCCACTGTATTATGGATAATGGTGATATCGAAAATTATATCTTTAGTTTTCATGACGTCACATTTTTATAAAAAGACAAGTCTGTGCTTTTTGTATGTATAATTTTCTTTTTTTTCTTAAAATTCCAACGACGCAACTGCACTAAAATGCTTTACGGCATGTAAACGTGGTTTTTGCGTGGATGATTTTTTTTTAATGAGTAAAGTTTCGCAAAATTTATGACCACGCGAAAGTTTTGACAAAAGTTACTGTAAAAAAAAATAATAAACAGACAAAAAATCATTTTGTAAATTCTGTACCTTCCGCAAAAAGAACCCCCACGTGAACGCCTTGAACATTGTATGGAAATCGAAAATGTCACCTTGTAAAAAAAAAAAATCCCCGTTTAAAGTACTTAATACATAAAATACACCCCCTCCCTCCTTTCCGAAGTTCTTGGCGATAAATTGTGCAAACGGTGACTGTGCATATTATCGCAACGACAAAAGATTTATGTTCCGAAATAGAAGGTACATATTGTCGCCCATTCTACATTGGAAAAAAGCTAGTATCGGCATATATTGTCGCCAGGTTCATATAACGATGGACAAGATGTGTACAGTCAAGATGTCCCTTTTTCCTCCAACACAACAACCATACTATTCACGCGCTTTCTTCCATTTATATCATCTCATCAAAACTAATATATTTTTTCTTTTCAGGTTGTGTTGAAAGATGGCGGAGATACGGGTTAAATTTAACGTTGCCATGGTTCTTGCTGTCGTGGCGGCTGAGATTCTAAGCCTGGTGATGTACACTCACTACTCCTCCTGGCACCATTCCCTGGGGCACCGGAATTTGATTGCCGCCATCATAGCCGACTGTGTTCTTGTTTACATTCTCAAATTAATCAAAGAGTTAGTTTATGATTTTGCAATATTTTAATGATATAGTCCCCACCCATTAGGATTTTATCATAATTACTTATTAGTGATAGTGTTACGAACTTCCAAGGTCGCCCGCGTGGCACAGTGGTTAGAGCGTCTGCTCTAGAGTTGCGAAGTAAGGAGTTGATCCTTACGTCGCGGGTTCGAATCCCACTGTGGGAAGTGGAGACCGGTCCTTCGGATGAGACCGTATAAACCGAGGTCCCGTGTCGCAGTAGGTGCTGGCACGATAAAGATCCCTCACTGCTCAATGGCCCTGAGTGCCGAGCATAGGACAAAATTTGCAGCTCTCCACCGGCAAGTGGTGACGTCTCCATGTGAGTGAAAAATTCTCGAGAGGGACGTTAAACAACATACAAACAAACAAACAAACGAACTTCAAAGTGCATCCATGAACCTTTGGAGAGGGGATAGAACACATACTTTAGATTAAAAAATCATTGACACTCAAAAATGTATATCTACTATACTATAAACATAATATGTTATGTTTATAGTATATGTACCTATGATTTGGTTACGTGACATAACACGGCTTTGGAATATACAACATCCAATGACCACCACTGATCCATTGTACAAAAGTGTAAACGTGATAAATATACATGTATACATTTTCTATGAATAAAACAACCTTTTATGACGTTTATGTTTTTTCAACCCTACAGGAATTTCTGGGACCCCAAAGACTGGGAGGATGCGGCTATTTTAAGCATGTGGCTAGCTTTGCTGTACCTTGGATTCCAGATGCCCCACGTGGTCCACAACACTTACAGTTTCACGCACTTCTTTTTTCACGTAGTACATAAATTTGCCATCTCCTTTGTCATGCTTTTCATAATGGAAAGATTTAAACGATATTGAATAAAAAAAAATGAAATACTGATTGTCTTGTTCTTATGTATTTTTTTTTTACTTTACTCTGTAGTGATCTCAGAATACTCAGAGAAAATAATATGCGCGAAATGATATTGCCTTTAGGTCACCTGAGTTTAATTTAGTTTTAGAACCGCTGAACCAATTTCAACAGTGTTTGGCATATACATGTAGCATCTATGGGTGAAGAAGAACTTACATTGTGAATTTTATGGTCCCCGCCCCCTGGAGCCTTAGGGATGGGGCCAAATCATCTAGATTAATGCAATCTTTAATTTTGTAAGAAGAAAAATATGTAACGTCAAGTGCCTATGATCAGGGTTTCAAACTGTTTGTGTGATGATTGTAATAAGCATAGAGCCCTCTTCAGGGCCTGAGGTTTAGGTGTTTTTTTGTTTGGTTTTTTTTTTTTATATTTTATTATGGTTAGGGAGGGGCTCTACTGATCATTCAGTGAAAATGCATAAATTCTTTAAAAATCACCCCCCCCCCCCCATATTCAGCAGGCAAACTAATTGCATGATTATGATGAGTACGGGCGCCTCTTTCAAAATTGTGAAAGGGTTCTGTTGTTACGGCGGGGCTTGATTAATTATTTAGTGCATAAATATTCACTGCAGAGTTCACTTCCGGTTGAGTGGCAAGGAGGAAAAAAGGCCAGACACAGCCCATAGTCGTCAAGCAGATTAGATTTTTTTATTTGAATAAATAGCTCACACACTCCGGTTGCTAAATTAGTCAAACTTTGAAGTATGAATTGCTGTTTGATATGGAATTAGTGTTCATAGATGAATTTGCAGATTATGCTTTATAATATTTCACTCGTGTGTGTGTGTGTGGGGGGGGGGGGTCGTCATGTCCTTTTATTACTTTTATTTTATCACCTGCATATGGGGTTTATGTCTCCCAGTTGATTCTATACGCAAGAGCATGCTCTACGTACGAACAATTTCTATAAAGAGGCAAGCTATTGACAAACAAGTTGATGAAACAAGAATATCAACAGTTTCGTTTAAAGTCATCACTTCGCAAGCTCTCTGATCGATACAATGTCCTTGTCAGTAAATGTAAAATCTATCATGAAGTCGAATGCTGACCGACGTTTTTCATACTAATTGTTAGGTCATGATTCTCCTCTTCCCCAATAATTGTGTCCCCTAAATGTTCTCTCTTTTTTTTTATTGGCTTGTCTTTCTGTTAAGCCCCCCCCCCCCCCAAAAAAAAAATCTTGTGATGATACTTTTTAAAAACTGCAAGACTTGCTCGTCTGGTTCCGTCGAGGGGGGGGGGGGGGCGAGGGCCGTTGCTGCAAGACTCGGACGCCTGGGTCTGTCGAGGGGACCGCCGAGGGCCGCAAAACACATTTTCATGTTGCTAGGAACAGAACTGGATCCATTCAATTAAGCGCTTGGTTTCCTTAATCTAGAGAACGCATACATCGGCTCAATCTAACTTCCACTTTTAAAAGTCATTACGATGGCTATTGAGAATCTGACTTTATCATTGGTCTTCACCTTTCATTTAACTTCGAACATACATGTACCCTGTGGAAAAACTGCATTATTATGATTTAGATAAAGGAAATTCACGCAAACATTGGATTTTTTTAAATGCTTAAATGCAGTATTAATGGGAAAATGTTGTGTTTTCTTTACCGATTTCTTTGTACATTTTCTCAACAGTTTCGCGTTTAAAATTCTATTGAAGGACAAACGCAACGTAGTTTTGAACTTTTTTAAAAAAAAAAATTTATTCCCTGTATAAGTTAAAAATTCCAATATTTGAAGGATCGACCTTTGTATTATTTTATGGTGCCTGGTAATACTATACACCTCCCCTAAATCAAAGTTATAAGAAACACCTGCTGCTAAAAGTATATTTTTGTTGATTTTTCTTTAAAAATTACAAGGATTTTCATCATTTGATATCTGTTAGAAACTCCTTGTAATGTATGCTGTATTTTTGTGTGAGAACATCTTATGTAAATATGATTTTAAATTGAAAATATCTTGGAAAATTAACAGTGAGAAAGGTACATTGTTGAGTACAGGTACATTGCGTATGTCCTTAAAGAACCTTTAAGTTCACATATTTCGTTCCTTTGTAATCATAGAGAAAAACTCTCTTTCTCGATAAAAAAAAAAAATTTGGTAGTAAGAAAAAAAATGCGTTCCGATGCCGGGAATCGAACCCGGGCCGTCTGGGTGAAAACCAGAAATCCTAACCACTAGACCACATCGGATTGCTTACTAATGTTGTAGTATAAACAAACATATTTCTTTAAAATCAGCGAAAGCATATACAGCTCTCTTTCATTGGATAATAAAACTAGGTCACACACAATACAAACAACGTCTAGGGTAAGAAGATACCTTGCTTTAAAAGTTGATAGAAATAGAAAGGTAAGTTGTTTTGCATGAAATTTTTACATGAATATTCTCGCACGTCCTTTTACGAACGCATCCAACCAATGTCATACTATTCGGGATATAGGGTCAAAATTTCTATGTAGCGTCTGATCGTGTCATATTGACCGAGACGCTAATTATTTATTTTACCGATGCCGACCAAAATGCATTTTTTCAGCAATATACTGCTCTCTCAGAAAAAGTAGAATATATTCAATACCATACAATGATGTTCCTTTCTTGTTGACTTTCTGTGAAAGCAAAAAGGCGTGTCCACGTTTCCTTTTTGTTTACATTCGATTTTCGTTTTGCCGTCGACAGTTATCTCTCTTGGCTTCCTTATCAGACAAGGCGGCTTGCAGTTTCTTGGGAATGAACTTTCTAACTTTAAACTACGCATTATCCAGAAAATATAATTGAAGCCTAGGGAAAGTTTGAGAGTTTTCATCCCTTGATGAATCATCCGTGCAAGTTTGGTCTAGATAGGGCTTGAACTTGAAGTTCAGTTCACTTGAAGAATGAGTCTGCTCGAAAAACTTTAACCTGATCACTCATCTGGAAAATGTAGGTCAAATACAGCATCTCTGAAACAAATCTGGTAGTGTTCATCCCTTGATGCATCATCCATGCAAGTTTGGTTCAGATGAGCCTCAATGTTTCTTGGTAATGGACCTGCCAAAAAACTTTAATCTGGTCACTCATCTTGAAAATGTAGGTCAGATCCAGCATCCGAAGCAAATCCAGTAGTATGTACCCTTAGATGTACGATTCTTGCAAGTTTGGTCAACATAGGACTTATTGTTAATAGGACTTATTGGCTAGAGTATTACATAATACCCCCCTCCCCACACACTCCCCCACTTCGTTGAGGTGAGCTAAAAAATAAAAATGATGAAAGTAATCAACCTATAAGTACTGTAAAAAGTTGAAATTATATTTTAAAAATATATGTTACGTTTAATCCGGAACTGTTTATGCCCATAATTGAATTGCTAGTTTCATATTACATTTAGAAATAAAACTCATTATCTACTGATGACTCGTGTAACTCAATCAAATTAAGTTTATGTATAGTATATATTAAAACTGTCCAAAAATGCTCTGATTAGTGCATTTATTTTTAAATAGCATCTATTCTCAAAGCAATTTTAAATTTTCCTCGAAAAATATTCACTGTGAGTACAAAATTTGTTAAGGCAGTTACTAGTAGTACTATCCTCAGAAAGTTCTGATTTTTTAAACATAAAATTTGCTCAAATCAAAAATTTTACGGTTGAATGGGTCAAGACCTAAAAATAAAAATAATGATGATAATAAAACAAACAAAAGCCATATGCAAAACTCGTAACTATGCTAATAGATTTTTATTTTAATTATAACGTTTGGTGACCCCTGTATAGTTAAAATTTGTCTCCACTATACGAACCAAGAACACATACGACCAAACTTTTTAAAATTTTTGTTACCTTTAGCAAAACTCTTGTCGAAACTTTTCATACAGCCATAAATTTAATATATATATATATATATATATATATATATATATATATATATATATATATATATATATATATATATATATATATATATATATATATATATATATATATATATATATATATATATACATGTATATATATATATACATATATATATATATACATATATATATATATTTACGTGGGTCTTAAGTTTTGAGATAACATATTTTGAACAGATTGGTGATTATGTGGTAAGAAGGCAGGTTTGTGGAAGTTTGAACATTCACATATTTTGAACAGATTGGTGATTATGTGGTAAGAAGGCAGGTTTGTGGAAGTTTGAACATTCACATCACATGAATATTTTAGAAATTTAAACTTGTGTTTGTAGCTACAAATCGGTCCCAGTTAAATATGTGTAAAAGTTAATATGTAATACTGAGACCAGAAAGATGAATTATACTTCACAAGAAAGGCGATTTTATTTCTATCTTTTATTACAATCATTCTTGTTTTGTTGTGTCTTTTCAGAATTATGGCTGAGCTCAGAATTCAGTTCAGTCTGTCTATGATCATAGCTGGTATTCTGGCGGAGGTGGTCAGTGTATTCTGGTACAATAGCCACTCCCCTTGGGGACGAAGGACAGGGGACCGCTACATGCTGGCAGCGATTGTTTGTGACGCCGGTCTTGTTATTGCCGTCAAGTTTATTATGGAGTAAGCCGTTTAGAATTTTAAGATAGGAAATACAAGTAGAGCTTTTTTTTTCAAAAAGTTTTGCCGTCTTTAGCTACAATCTTAAACAGTAAACTGACCTACACCTATCAGGCCGAATTATTCTTGAGCATTTCGTGGCTTTGTATTCTTCTTGAGCTTCTTACCGGTATTAGCCGCACCATATGAACGTTCAACCGGTTAGACGCTTGGCTGTCTCCGTAAAATCTGACTCTGCTGATCGGAGTTAACGGAGACAGCCGAGCGTCTAGGAATACAAAAAAATATTTAAGCTGTAATGCTTGCATGCAATAAAGGACTTTTCTGATTACTATGCAAATATAGAAACGCTTTATAATAATTGCTATAAAGCTTTAAGTGTTATAATAATTTAGATTCATTTATTGCCATTTTTCTATTTCTTGATTTTTTTAAGATTAAAATCTTGAAAAATTGTTAAGTCGTACAAAAATTAGATCACCAGAAAATTATCTCCCTTGCCTTGAACAGCATTTCAACCAATGAAATAATTGAACATTTTTACATCATGCAATTTCTACCAATCACAAAAGAGAGGAAGTGCATAGTCCGAAGACTGTAAAATACTTCAACTCTGTATAAAAATATCTTTACCTATTTAGAAAGTTGTCAATACATGTAGGTACTAATGCTTTAAATATAATGATATTTCATTGTTCTTTCAAATGTCTATTCCAGCTCTTTCTGGTCCGTCAGCCGTTGGGAGGATGCTTTCGTTTTGGCACTAACTCTGGCTGCTATATACGGATGCTTAGAAGGACCTCACGTTGTTCATAACTCTCGGAGCTTCTCTTGGTTTTTCTTCCATACCGTCCACAAGTTCTTGGTGGTGTTTGTTATTGCCATGACTCTGGTTTATTTTAGTTATTTGGGATAGTCAACCACGTCCAAATAGTTTACGATGAATTGTAGATGTATACATAACTGGTAGAATAGATAAATACAACACTCTTTCTGAAACTCCTTTTGTGAATAGACCTTCTGACATTTAGAAATGAAGTTACATCGAGTTTAATGAAGTGAAAGAATACAAGAATGACTGTTTAGAGAGATTATGTCATAAGAATTTTTAAATTTCAAGATATCTAATGCTGATATTTTATATTATACTTATTTAGACTAGAATTATATTTTCACCTTATATCTGTTTAATACATGATGCACAATTGTACGCAATTTTACTTACCTCTCTATATACTCTGATTATTATTTTTCTTTACTCACGTAGAATTCCACGGCTGGACAAACCGTATTAATATATACCTCAATTAGTCCTCTTTTTACATAATTATATACACTGTGTACAATATATTAAATGTTGTTGCAAAGAAGATAAAAGAGTTTGTTTATTTCTGCATCTTGTTTTTGTTAGAAAAAAAAAACACTGAATGAGAAAGTGTAGCTGCACCGTGAAGTATTCATCATCAGTGAACTGTTTTTATTAGTCATACTTGAAATCTGAATATATTTGCCAATGTATTATTTACAGATAATCAATGCTGGATATCACTAATATCTATTTATTAAGTTGAATTAACGAGACATTTAGATAGAAGTGTTCTCACACTTTTTTTTTGTTTCTTGACATGCAAGACATGCACGATTTGTGTCACAATACAGTCTGAAATGCATGAGAAATCGCGTCAAATTAAACTGTGTGACATGCACGATTTGTGTCACAATACAGCCTGAAATGCACGAGAAGTCGCGTCAAATTAAACTGTGTGACATGCACGAGATGTCGCGTCGCATTAAACTGTGTGACATGTACGATTTGTGTCACAATATAGTCTGACATGCACGAGATGTCGCGTCACATTAAACAGTGTGACATGCACGATTTGCGTCACAATATAGTCTGACATGCACGAGAAGTCGCGTCAAATTAAACTGTGTGACATGCACGAGATGTCGCGTCACATTAAACTGTGTGACATCCACGATTTGTGTCACAATACAGTCTGAAATGCACGAGAAGTCGCGTCAAATTAAACTGTGTGACATGCACGAGATGTCGCGTCACATTAAACAGTGTGACATGCACGATTTGCGTCACAATATAGTCTGACATGCACGAGAAGTCGCGTCAAATTAAACTGTGTGACATGCACGAGATGCAGCTTTACATTACAGTTTGATGTGCAAGAGATGTTGTTTAACATGACAGAGTGACGTGCACGAAAAGTCGCATTACATTACAATGTGACTAGCTGCAATAATGTAGCCCTCTCCCTTTTTTTTTTTTTTTGGGGGGGGTGGGGGGGGGGAGAGGGCTACAAATCCTAAGGATCTCCGTAATGGTGCAAGTGCGGGAGTGATTCACTCCCGCACGAATTTCGGCTTAAATTATCAGTAAATGGCTATTTAATTGACATTTCTTACCTGAACTCCAAAAATGTAGTTATGCAAAACATAAATCAGTCCAAACATACACAGAACAATCCATATATCGATTATTTTTCGTGTATGTCAACATCACAACTTGAATTTATCCGCCATGTTTACTGACCTTGATCGATTTTATTTTGGGACAGCCAATGAGACTAGGGATCTCTAGGGAGCGGATCTCTGTATGAATTACCTTATTTTAGGCATAAATATCGCTGTTTACGAAAAAATGTCACATGGAATAGTTTTATTTATGAATATTTAATGATGCCATACAGCATAATCATTTAGTAACCCCGAAAATCTACTTTACAAAGTAATTTATAATTTTCAAGTGCAAGTCTCAGTGCATAACGCGAGAACTGTCATGGCTTCTGATGAGAGCGACTGGTAAACAAGCAGATTTATTTTATCTGGTTTTCGCGTTTAACGGGCTATGTTGTTGACAGTGAATAAAAATTTCGCCTTTTTAGAAGTAAGTTGAATGTAAAAACAATTTATTGTAATGGTTATTGGAAACTGAAAACGCAAAGAAGACCCAGATGTAAGGTTAGAATGGAATAACCTGTCCTCCCTTAAGCTTAAAGTAGACTAGTCCAAAGGGTATAAATAAGACTGCATTGAGAGATTCAGAGTCTTTTGGGGAATGCAGAGCTGCAGTTAAGTAGAAGCAGGAGAAATATTTGGGTAAGAATAACGGATAAGAGAAAGGGAAAATAAAAGAAATAGATTTGCACCAGTGATAAGAATCTCGGGGAATTGAGGCGAGATACTGGGGGCTGTAGATCTGTATAAGAACGAAACTCCTAGTATCCGCTATCAATAGGAACCTGGGGCAAGGTACACGGTGCTAAGTCTAACAGTTACCAAGTCATAAGAATTCATCCCACATTATATATTCTTTGATTAAATATAATAGAAAAACCCAGATAGGTTTAAGAAAAATTATTATACTGTACATAGTCAAATAATTAGATCATAAACTCAGGTAGAGTAAGAGAAAAATTCATCCCCTGAGAACCCAACGTAGGGGTACACGTTACATTTTGGTGGCAGCCGGTAAGGGGATAGAAGTTAATAAGACAAAATTACTAGGTACCAGGTTCAGTTTACCAAGTGCTATTTACGAGGTTCAGTGGTACCAGGTACGCAGAGCCAGGTACGGTGTTACCAAGGACATTTTACCAAGTACAGTTTACCAGGTCCAGTATAACCAGGTACAGAGAGCCAAGCGCGCTGTTAACAAGTACTGCTTACCAGGTCCAGTGTTACTGGGGCAGAGCGCCAAGTAGTGTGACAAGGTTTTTATATACTGGGTTCAGTGTACTTTTCATTAATAATAGAAGGAGGAATCCGTAGGTCCATTAGAGAAAAGTAAGATGTCTGATAAAGAAGCGGATCTTTTGGCCGACCTAAGTGCTATAGACGCCATGCGAGAGAAACTAAGGGAATCTCTAGACAGAATGAAGTCTACACCAAAGACATCTACAAATCCAGCAAGGATACCGGATTCGGGAGTAGATATTAGATACAGGCCATTTGAATCTAGTTTAGATGAATTAACATCTAAATACACGAACACTTTGGACAGGGAAAAAGGTGCAACAGGTGGCAAAGAGGACTATAGGTACTTGATGTCCCCTAAGCCAAGTTATACATTGTATGAGGAAGAAGAAAATGAAGGTAGAGGAACATTTACTTCTGGGAGACAAAACAAGTATGAAGTATCAGGACAAGTTAAGCAAACAACTCTCCCTAAATTGATTCCAACAACAGGATTGCCTTGGAATACTAGGGGATATGCTGCTCCGTCAACAACGACAAATGTGACTTGGTCAGACAGCCGAAATGCGGGTACTGGCTCATTTTCTGTTCAACAGCCAAAACCCAGTATAGAGAGTGCAACAAATAAAAGCACGGAATATACTATGGGTAAAACAGTGATGAAACCAGCGACATATGATGGAGTAGGATCTTGGATTGACTACAAGGCACACTTTGAGGCCTGTTGTGATATCAATATGTGGAGCGCTCGACAGAAAAGTTTGTACTTGGCAGCTTCGTTAAGAGGACAGGCTCAAACTGTGCTAGGAAATATGAGCCCAGGTACAGCCTGTACATATGAGGATTTATGCGATGCCTTAGAGGCCAGGTTCGCACCGGCAAACCAAACTGAGTTATATAGAGCAATGCTGAAGGAGAAAAGACAGAAACCCACAGAAACTTTGCCAGAGTTAGGTGAAAGTATTCGCCGATTAACTCACTTAGCCTACCCAACTGCTCCCCGTGAAGTAACAGAAATGATTGCCAAAGACCAGTTTGTCGATGCACTAACAGACTTTGACATGAGACTCCGTATTCAACAATCTCGACCAAAGTCACTTAATGATGCGGTGCGACTAGCAGTCGAAATTGAAGCATTTTGCAGAGCAGAAAGGCAACGAAGACATGACGTTGGGTTTGCCAGGAATGCCACAAGGGATCAAGAAAATAAAAATGTGAATCATGATGATGGCAGTGTAAGAGAAGAATTTAAGAAGCTTAGGGATGAGTTACACATATCTTTAAGAAAATTAGAAAACAAAATCGAAAACCTTTCAAAAGAGGAAATCAATAAACAATCCGAAAATACTGAACCACAATCACCTGCTTTTCCGTACAAATGCCATCATTGTGGGAAACGTGGACATAAAATCAAAGATTGCTTTTTGAGAAACAAATCTAACCCAGTCCCGGTACCAGTGCCAGGAAGCAGACCCAGGGCGAAGAACAATGCAAATGTGGAAAGGTCACCACAGGGGAAAAGAGATACAATCAAGTCTAGTACAGCTACGGTTAAACATGCAAAAACAGGTCTAGAATCAGGTCTTTTCATAAAAGCTCATGTAAGCCTCGTACCTTGTAATCTACTGGTTGATACTGGGGCAACACTTACTATTTTTGTTGAAAGAATGTATGATGAAATGGTAAAGTCAGTTAATATTCCCCTGGAAACGGTATCACAGAACATAGTAGCGGCTGATGGAACTCCATTAAAAGTAAAGGGACGAGGTAACTTTTTAATTAAGTTAGGAGACCACGAGTTTGACTGCCAAGCTGTCGTGGCAAACATTAAAGCAGATGGAATTCTAGGTTTGGATTTCCTTCGATCAAGTCAATGTTTAGTGGATATAGCTCGTACTAAAATGTTTGCATCTGGCGTTGAACATGATCTGCATTTACAGGGGCAAATAAGTTGTTTTCGTGTTAGTCTGGAGGAAAATATAACAATTCCTCCTAGAAGTGAGATGATTTGTTCTGGACAGTTGTTATCATCTCCAGGAATAAAAATACAAGGACCTCTACTTATAGAGCCTATCAAAAAGTTTGATACCGGCGGTAAAGCGCTAATAGCTAGAACCTTGGTTGATCCAGCTAAAAATGTCACAGTGCGTTTAATGAATATATCAGAACAGATTCAAACAATTTACAAAAATACAGTTGTCGGGGTGACTTCGCCAGTGGACGTAGTTAAATCTGAGGATGAAAATATTGTTAGCACAGTAACGCTAAATGAAAAGATAGAAAACATCCCAGATCATTTAAATGAGTTGTACACAGAAACAACTAAGGGCCTCACAGCAGAAAAGGCATCCAAAATTAAAACATCTTTAATAAAGTTTCAGCACCTATTCTCTAAGGCCAAAGATGATTTTGGTAGAACCTCGTTAACAAAGCATAAGATCAATACAGAAGGTGCCAGACCAACCAAGCAGCCTCCTAGGAGATTGCCACATCATGCGGCAGAATTTGTTGACAAGGAAGTAGAAAATATGATCAGAAAAGGCATTGTCGAACCTTCTTCCAGTCCTTGGGCTGCCGGGGTGGTTCTGGTGGAAAAGAAAGATGGTACCAAGAGATTCTGTGTAGACTATAGATCTCTCAATAGTAAGACTGTGAAAGATGCCTATCCTTTGCCACGAATCGATGACTCGCTTGATCGTCTACAAGGAGCTATCTGGTTTTGCACCTTAGACCTTCATTCGGGGTAATGGCAAGTGGAGATGGATGAGGCTGATAAACCTAAGACAGCTTTTGTCACAAGAAATGGCCTATTTCAATTTTCAGTAATGCCCTTTGGACTTTGTAACAGTCCAGCAACTTTTGAGAGACTGATGGAGACGGTTCTTGCTGGGTTAAATTTTAAGATATGTTTAGTGTATATAGACGATATTATTGTCTTTGGAAGCACTTTTGATGAGACACTTCAAAATCTGGAGCAAGTGTTCGAGAAATTACACCAGGCAGGGCTAAAGTTGAAACCTTCTAAATGTACCTTGTTTAAGAAAGAGGTTTTGTTTTTGGGATATCGTGTTTCAGGACATGGCGTTCATACCGACCCTCAGAAAATAGCAGTGGTAAAAGACTGGCCTGTTCCCATAGATGCAAGCGAAGTGCGTTCGTTTGTGGGTCTTTGCAGTTATTACAGGAGATTTATTGCAGGTTTCTCCTCACTAGCTAAACCATTATTTAGGTTAACTGAGAAAGGCCGAGTTTTCAATTGGACATTGGAGTGTCAGGAGGCTTTCGAAAAGCTTAAGCACCATTTAGTCACTGCTCCAATTCTTGCACATCCTGACTTCTCATTGCCTTTTATTTTAGACACAGACGCAAGTCAAGTGGGTCTCGGTGCAGTCCTTTCTCAGGAAATAGATAGTGAAGTTAGAGTAATATCTTATGCAAGTAGGACTCTATCAAAAAGTGAGCGGAAATACTGTATAACTAGAAAGGAGCTGTTGGCGGTAGTATTTGCCTGTAAACACTTTCGACATTACTTGTATGGCCATAAGACAATTGTGTACACTGACCATAGTGCATTGAAATGGCTCATGAATTTTAAAGACCCCCAAGGACAGGTGGCCAGATGGATCGAATTTCTAGGTACTTATGATCTAGAAATACGACACAGACCGGGTCCAAAGCATGGGAATGCAGACAGTCTCAGTCGATACCCCTGTCGTCAATGTGGATATAAGGGAAATGATCAGGATGATGATCCTAAAACAGAAACCGTACAGGCAGTTGAGAAAACATTGGCTGGAAACGGACTGACGATTGAAGAACTCCAAAAGCAAGATTCAGACATAGCAAAAATAAAGAGCTGGGTGTCATCTCAGAAGCGGCCAGAGTTTGCAGAAATAAAGGCTGAAAGTAATGTTGTAAAGTCGCTATGGTCACAATGGAATACATTAGAGATCAATAATGACGTACTGTGTAGAAAATGGATAGGTGATAGAAAAGAGTTTCACCAAATTTTGGTCCCCTTGTCTGAAAGAAAGGAGATTTTAAGACAGTGTCATGATGCTCGAACTGCGGGTCATCTTGGGGTAGCAAAGACCTTGGCCAGAATACGAGAAAAATTCTATTGGGTTGGATTGCAGAATGATGTCCGTAGCTATGTGACTGGGTGTCCACAATGCAGAAAACGAAAATCTCGTTCTGCTGGAAAATCATACATGCAGTTAGATCAAACTGGGTTTCCCTTAGAACGAGTAGCCACAGATATTATGGGGCCACTGCCCGAAACCGAGAAAGGTCACAAGTATATTTTAGTCATATCTGACTACTTTACTAAGTGGACAGAGGCCTTTCCTCTGAAAAACATAGAAGCACAGACAGTTGCTGAAGTCATAATAGAACAGTTTGTTACTAAGCTTGGTATCCCAGAAATAATACACAGTGACCAGGGCAGACAGTACGAAAGCAAGCTGTTCAAAGACATGTGTGAAATGTTGGGAATAAGAAAAACTCGAACTACTGCTTTCCATCCAAAGTCAGATGGAATGGTGGAAAGATTTAATAAAACTTTAGCAACAATGCTGAGTGCCTATGTGTCTGACCACCAACAAGATTGGGATAGAAACCTTCCGTATGTGCTTATTGCCTACCGTTCCTCTGTGCATGAAAGCACAGGCTATACTCCGAATATGCTTATGTTTGGACGCGAGGTAGCTACCCCGCTAGATATCATGTATGAATTACCGAATAGTATGAAGCCAAGCAAAGTACATGATTATGTATGGAAACTTCGGGAAACACTGGAAGAGGCATATAAGTATACCCGTCAGATTAGCCAGCAGTCTATGCTTAGACAGAAGAAGTATCACGATCAAAATATTATCAGTAAGAGTTTTGAGGTTGATGATAAAGTGCTAGTGTTTTTCCCACAAAGAAATGTAGGGAAGTCTCCCAATTGATGAGTTTTTGGTATGGCCCTTATATTATCGTTGAAAAGCATACTGATGTTACATTCAAAATTAGAAAAGAAAACGATACCAAGACTCTCATTGTACATATTGACAGGTTAAGACATTATGGGACTCAGGTCCTGGGTAATGAAATACCGCAGTCTGAAGATGATCACCAAGTAGTGCAAGATGAAAGTCAGACTGATGAACTTCAGAATGATGAACCTGAACTAGATATGCTTGGTAATTCAGAACTGAATGAATTAGAATTGTCATACGCCAATCGTAGACAACGCACTAGGCCTAAATGGCACACTGATTATGAGTTTGATTATACAATTTAACTTTCAGTACAGTGTTTTAAGAATTATCATTTATTTTCAGATAAAAAAAAGGGAAGAAAGAAAAGAAATGCCATTGACCAAAGTGACTCCCAGGAAGCCTGGGTTTTTATGCTCTATTTGCTTGCTTCGCCTTCCTTCTGAAGAGGAATGGAGAGATCACTTGCTAGCTTGTGGAATGGCTGATAATAATCGACGAAAATATGAATGTGAATTATGTGATCAAGCTTTTAGTAAGAAAATTATCTTAACCAGGCATGTGAAACGCGTGCATAAGGAACAAGAGATTTCAGAATTACAAGGAAAGAGGCAGATTCAAGATTCGTCAGTGGAATCACTTATAGAAGAGGATTGGCTAGAAGATCCAGGAGAACTAATTTTTGAAGAAACCAACATTGAGTTAGGTAGAACTCAGAGAAAAAGAACTGCTCCGCGTTTGCCAGGTATAAAAAGAAAAACAACAGACAGAGTGAACCAAGTAGTTGAGGAAGAAATAATAAAAGACAAGGATGCGAAGAATGAAGACGAAGCAACTAGAAGTAGACCAGACCAGGAGGCACCTGTGGAGAATCTGCATTGCTCCTGTTGCAAGAAACAAGTTGAGACAGTGGAAGTAGCTACACAGGCCAACATTCATGTTGAAGAAGTAAACCAGAGAAGACATAAGAAGATCATACGAGTGATCAGAAAATATCAAGAAAATGGAGAAACCATTGAAAAATTTGAAGAGGACATTTGGTATGATTAGACTTCCTCATGTACATCAAATCAAACTGACTATGTGTTTGTATTTCTTTCATTTTTGTAACCAGGTGTTATTTTTACCTTTGATAAATAAATAAATTTAAAAAAAATAATAAAACATATAAATATCTAGAAAGAAAACATGCGGGACGCATGAAATCAGAGGCGTGGGTGATGTAATGGTTATTGGAAACTGAAAACGCAAAGAAGACCCAGATGTAAGGTTAGAATGGAATAACCTGTCCTCCCTTAAGCTTAAAGTAGACTAGTCCAAAGGGTATAAATAAGACTGCATTGAGAGATTCAGAGTCTTTTGGGGAATGCAGAGCTGCAGTTAAGTAGAAGCAGGAGAAAGGGTAAGAATAACGGATAAGAGAAAGGGAAAATAAAAGAAATAGATTTGCACCAGTGATAAGAATCTCGGGGAATTGAGGCGAGATACTGGGGGCTGTAGATTCTGTATAAGAACGAAACTCCTAGTATCCGCTATCAATAGGAACCTGGGGCAAGGTACACGGTGCTAAGTCTAACAGTTACCAAGTCATAAGAATTCATCCCACATTATATATTCTTTGATTAAATATAATAGAAAAACCCAGATAGGTTTAAGAAAAATTATTATACTGTACATAGTCAAATTATTAGATCATAAACTCAGGTAGAGTAAGAGAAAAATTCATCCCCTGAGAACCCAACGTAGGGGTACACGTTACATTATTTTGCCTGCAGTCGCCTGTATTTAAAAAATATATTTGCACCATTACAGAGATGCTGTGGAATTGTAGCCCTCTCCAGAAAAAATCAGATAAAAAAAAAAATCGGAGAGGGCTACATTATTGCAGCTACAATGTGACGTGCACGTAGAAATCTTTTACATGTACATAAAGTAAGTTTAACAGAATAAAGATCTCTCTGACATATTGTTTCCTATACCTGCCTGTGGATGTGGAATACACATACCGGGGGTATGTAGAGGTATTGTATATTTTCATTTGTATGTATAATGAAAAAGGTGAAAACCAATCTCATAAATCCTGTAAATAAAACAAAATGCATCAGGATTCAAAGGCACGGACCCCCTGAAAAATTTCTGAGAGAGTCCTACAGAGATTAAACTGGAAAAAATTTCTTTGCAATGTATTCTAGGGACATCTCAAGTATGCCAAGATTTTTGGTTAAGATCCGGCTTTTTCCATATATCAAAATATGGGATTTGACCTCTTCTGGTTATCTCCCTTTGAACACTTCGGTAGTAGTTTGGTCGTATTTCGACTGACATGTTTCTAGGCATTGTTTTATACTCATTTTGACTACGAATTACTCTGTTTAACCTGATCAATACAGAGGGCGGTTGACAGGAGATACTTAAAGTCCTCAACAACTGATCCCACCCCTGGTGTTTCCAGGAGACCGTGCCTTTGAATCATGTTGCATTTTGTTTTATTTACAGGATTTTAGGGATGCGCGATTATTTCAGTATACCGGTATATCACGATTTTTTAGTGCGTGATACGTATCGTGATACGAAGACTAAAATACCAGTATTTGGTACATAACTATAAATATTCATTTGTTTGTTCAATCTATTGAATGACAATTACAGGAAGTGTAAAAAATGTTGAAAACAGTTAAACAACTGCATCCAAACATTCTTTCTATTAAATAATAAATATTTAAACAGTAAAGTTATGTTTTTATAGCATATTTTTAGGAAATACTGTATAGGGGATTAATTTCACGGATTGTAATTTTCACGGTTTTCTCTCCTTTGACACGATCGCGGTTTGTTGAATTCGCGGAATCGGTATATAATAAAAGTTACCTCCCTTGTCTATATCCGTTTAATCCAGAACGACATTAATCAGCGTTAAGTATTCACTTAAAAAAACAACAGAGTAGGTTTATATAAAATAGATTTAATAATTAATTGACGACTAATTAAAACAAGTGCAGTTAATAAAAGTCCTTGACTATAAACGTCGAATGACTTTCTTATATACTATTACGATGAGTGCATGTACACCCCAAGATCTTCTTTCCGAAGGGATAATACATCGCGGCGAAAAACCACTGGACGGTAAGAAATGTGTTAATGTAGGTCGAAGAAATAATATCCTTCCACATATTCAGCAAGTTCAATAGTTATTTGAATGATTTTTTAAAAAACAAAATGTCGATAAAAACTAATACACATGATAATGCAGGTAACAAATACATGTGGTCACAGAGTTATGCACGGGTAATCAAAACCATGACCCACGTGTTTTGATTGATGTAGCGTGGGCTATTAAAACAGCTTTCTTACAAATACAGGTTTATTATGTGCTGATCTAAATTAAAGTAAAGCGTGATAATTAAATTAATTGAATGACAAGTGCGACTCGTAATTACTGAAATGACCACGTCATATAGTATATACATGTATACCTATCGTAGTGTATTGTCAAATTTCCAAATATAACATGGAGGTTATTGAAAACTTATTCACTGTTTCTTGAATTCACGGATTTCTTAACACCGTGAATATAGCGAATATTAACACCGCGAGTTATTTTCCCCCTATACAGTACTATGGAAATTCATATGAAATTGTAGTAAAAATTTTATGTAGAAATATCACGATTTATCGTGATATTTGGGGGGGGGGGATCGTGATATATCACGATACGAAATTTCTGCCGATACCCATCCCTACAGGATTTATGAGATTGATTTTCACCTTTTTCATTATACATACAAATGAAAATATACAATACCTCTACATACCCCCGGTATGTGTATGAAATTCCACTTGCACAGGCAGGTATAGGAAACAAGATGTCAGAGCGATGTTTATTCAATTAAACTTACTTTATTTAATGTACATGTAAAAGATTTTTGGTCAGTGTTTTGCAATTTAAGAAATTCTATCTATTGATTTATAGATACATTCATGTTGTTTTGAATTTTTTAGATTGCAAAACTTTAATGTAACAGTTTCAAGTGTTTTTCTGCAACAAATTAAACATAAGTTTTGTGTGCGATATTTTTTAAAGAAAAAAATTAAAGATTTTTTGAAGAACATGTTCCAAGTCTGCATGTCAAGATTTTTTAAGCACATGTAAAGCTATATTTTTTCAATACTCCAAATGTGACGCATATCGACTCTTACGATTATCTCCCTTTCAACACTTCGGTTGTAATTACATTATCACACAGAGTGACAAAATATATAAACACTACTCACAACACATCTTTATTCCACCTACACAGAAACTTGGAGAACATGATAAGCGATAATCTTATCTCCACCTGTAAAGGTATGCAACACTCCCTCAGTACCACTTTACAAAACATTTTCTTCTGTAGATGAAATAGAAGGAGATTGACGTCATTTAAATGACAAAATAAAATCATGAGTCGGAAAAAATACTACACAAATTGTCAGATGATAATGTGTTTGATTCTTTCTATCTTGGATTGAATAAACATATATTGCACCTCTACAACCGAAGAGTGGAAGAGATTTTTCTATCTGCATTGGAACTCTTTCGTACTAACTTTCCAATGATCGGGATTTGTAGGAGCATCAAAAAATTTTTTTTCTACTGGACTTGACAGGAAAAATACAATATAGAAACACATCAGTTTTATATAACATCTTACTATACATATCACCATTCAAAACCTTGCAATGTTAATTACATTTTTCTGATGAGGTTTATTGTCATAAAATGTTAAAATATGCTTGTTTTTCCCCGCGTAAACATAGTTCCGTTTTATTTTTTTCAATGCTAAACTGATTATATAAAAAGAATTTAAAAAATCATTTATCAAGAATGAAGATGAAATAGTATAATCTTTTTATCTTTGCTAATTTCAATGTATATATTTCCACATTAAGAATGACTGAAATTAATTAAGTTTTGCGAAATGTTCAAACATCAACCACGAGTAAAATTGTGCAGATATTTGAATATCAAAGTGTCTCTTACTATAAACTCTGTGTATATCAGTCAATAATCAAAGTTATAATCTAGTAATTAACATTTTTTTTTTGGGGGGGGGGGCTATAATACTATAAAAATTGTGAAGCAAATTCGAACATAAATATTTGTTTTAGATCCTCTACTATAGTAAAACAAAATTTCCATCTCTCTGCAACTGATTTTAATGCAGAGCAAAAATACAACACGTCTTAGAATTATATAAATTCCCTAAACAACGCACGCACACCTTTTTACTCAAGTTTAAAGTATTGATACAGACTTCGTCATGTAAAATAAATTGGATTAAGGAATAGACGGGGTACTGGTTCGGAAGTCCATTTGTGTCCAGTCTGTGTTCTATAAATATAATCCATTGGTCATTGTGAGAAAACAAGGTTCCGCCACCATTGGGTAACTCGTCCACTTCCACGATAGATTCTGATTTTCTCCTTTGTTTGTTTTACATTTACAGAAAAATCAAATTGTGTTGATTCAAAGCTGACAGGTGTAATTGAAAATAAATTCAGATGCCATATGCTTATGTTTTCTTCGTTGTAAAACTCAAATCTTTATTTTTTTTAAGGTTTTATAAAGGTCTGGAGTTCTTTAAGCGCTTACTTAATAATATTTAAACAACTAATAAAAATCATTCTAATTTTTTTTTCTTTGAATCTTTTTTGAATGAACTTACAGAGAATTTATTAATAGAGAATTTATTTATCAAATCTAAAGTGAAGTTAGTGATGGAAACATCACAGTTGTAAGTACATTAAATTGTCATTGTAAACTTAGAAAGTGCATTGCACTCTAATATCGCATATCCTTAAAGATGTGAGGGTTTATGGTGATATTTTTTCTCCGAGTATCTGAATTTTAAACTTTAGTTTTGTACGGTGGCACATTCAAGTTATTATTTCTAAAGATTATATCGACATGCAAATGCAAGATAATTATGTGAACATTCAGCTTAACTATATTGACATGCAAGAAAATGTTGGCATATTTCTGCCCCAACATGATGAATCATGTCATATGC